GCGGGCAACAACGTAAAGCGCCGCCGAGAATTCCTGAGAACTGTCCACCTGGTCCTTACACTGCTTACCATCCACGTAAGAAGAAGAGCAGGTGGAGGGTGGAGGAAGGACCGCGTGGGATCGCGCGACGCCTATTCCAGACACGAACACGACGCGTCCCGGTCGCACGGCTGGCACGACTGCGACGATGTCGACCAAGCGAAAAGCCTCGAGCGGCAAGGCGAAGAACCGTCCCAAGTCGCGCAAGGTAGAATACGACGAGGAAGACATTTCCAGCGAGCACGACTCGGAGGTCGACGATGCTGAAGCCGGCTCCAACGCCGACGGCGAGGACGCCGCAACTGAGGACGCGCTTGCGGACGTTTCGAACATGCCTGAACTGCCGGCCCCAGAGGTGAACTGATGCTTTCGTATCACTTCCCCCCGCACCCGCGCGGACGCGCGTCCGGTTCCGCAACACAGTGCGGATTGCGGACGGTCTACCCGTTTGAAACAAATAAGAGCCGATTGTTCCCTATTAACAATCGCTATTATCATATCTTACCTTCCGATATCGAATTATGAATATTTAAACAAATTAATACGTAAATATCAAAGTGCATTGTTAACATTTAAATTGCTTTTCAATTATCGCGATCAGTGGTTTTCTACTTCTTTTTATATTCGCTCTGTAAACTTTGTTAAATATTATAGAATTTGTCAAACTAGAAAAAGAAAACTAATCCTTTGATCAGTATTTTGTTGTGTTGCTTCTTATTAAATTTCGTATATGTATAAAATTTATATGGAACTTTATACAAGTAATATTAAATGAAATACATTAGACGCAAGGAAAGTAATGATGAGTCTATCTTATCTGAATTTCTCTTGCACAGTTTATCTTTTCTCCTTTTCTCTCCATATTAGAGAAAAGAAAAAAAGATGAATTATGTAACAAGTTCAGATAAAAAGAACAGGCTTCATGAAATCTGTTTGATATTATAGGGTGGATGGGGCAAGCCTGGAACATTGCTCATGTGTGGCCTTACTAATTGGGAAATGGCTGGTCGCAAAGCACCGCCTAAAGGAGTAAAAGCAAACGTAGGACGTAGCCTGTGGACTCCGCATACTTTTAAGAATTTGAATGACGCAAAAGTACGACTAATCGCGTCTGGTCCTGCTGCATCCCACAGCATTATCGTCACTGAGGATAATAGATGTTTGGCTTTTGGTAGAAATGATAAAGGTAAGCGATACGTGCCTCTGTATATGATAATTGTATATCATAGTAATTTTCTTTTTCCTCATATGCATTCCCAAAGCAGGCTATTATTCATCTTGCACTTCAATCCCAAACTTGCAACCTCTTATAAAATCAAAGCGTACGTAAAACAAGGGCCACGATTAAGTTCAGAATCTGCTGACAAATCAACCGCTTTCATTCAAAGTCATTCACGCATTGCCTCTTGTCATAGTTACTATTTTATTTACTATTGAAGATTAACATTTGCAAGTCTATATAGATTTCACACTGGCACAAGATGAGTTTCGATAAAACTTTATATTCAGTATTCTAGAAACGTTAAAGTTTGACCAATAAATAATATGACCAGTATATAATAGCATCTGATTGTATTTAAATTTGTATATATTACATCGCTGGTTTTATTCTATCGATAGTATTGCTGAGACCGAACAATTTGCGTAGGTCAATTGGGTGTCGGAGACACAAAGCGTCGCGATGAGCCCACTGAGGTCGAAGCTTTAAAGGGACACACGGTTATAGGAGCATCATGCGGACGCAACCATACTTTATTTTTAACCAGCCGTGGGATAGTTTTTGCCGCTGGTGACAATAAACTGGGCCAATGTGGGATCGGGAAAAACGATCCCTGTATTGTAACTGCCACCAAAGTAAAGTATTCCGGACCGCCGATAGTGAAAGTAGGATGCGGCGCAGAGTTCTCGATGGTTTTGGATATCAAGGGTGGTCTGCATTCGTTTGGATGCCCAGAGTATGGCGCTCTAGGCCATAACACTGATGGCAAATATTTCATCACGAATACAAAAATGGCATTTCATTATGAGAAAGTACCTAAGCGAATCGTTTTATACGTCGAAAGGGGTAAGGATGGCCACGCGACGCCGTTGGATCGCGTTGAGATCACCGATTTCAGCTGCGGTCACTATCACACGGTCGCAATTGACAGCAAGAACCGTGCGTTCTCCTGGGGATTCGGTGGGATTGGCCGTCTGGGTCACAATGAACAACGCGACGAGTTGGTACCACGTCTAATCAAATTTCTGGAGCCACCCAGTCGCGGTGTCCGTGCGGTGTACTGTGGAAGCACGTATAGCATCGCGATCAACGTACATGGCTCCGCCCTTATGTTTGGTCAGACTAAGCGTACCGGCGAGGCCAACATGTATCCCAAGCCTATCCAAGATCTATCCGGTTGGGAGATTCGATGCGTCGGTTGTTCGCAGACGAGCGTAGTAGTCGCAGCTGACGACTCTGTTATCGCCTGGGGCGCCAGTCCTACGTTTGGAGAATTGGTAAGATAGTGATGTTTTTTAAGGATACATTCAGAATATCTCAATTTTCTTTGATAAAGCTACAATTTAAATCGAATCTTGCCATCCATATGAAAGCACTGCAATCCTACATGGATCTTATTTTCTTCATTAATTTCGTTGTAATTTGTAATATTTATGGGAAAAGGGATTGCTTATCCAACCTCCATTTTGAACCAGACTTATTTTAAATTTAAAATTTTTTTATTATTTACTTTATTATTTACTTATTGTTATTTGGAAGTTTCTGATCTCTGAGGGACGTCCCAATATTGTAATTAGTTCATCCTTTTGAAAAGTTCGTGTCTATACTGTTTTTATCAGTAAAATATTTTTTTAATATGTATTAATATAAATCATATGCAAGATAGCAATTCCACGAATCAAAATCAAATCTTTTGCTAAGAAACTGCTCTAACATCCAATTTTTCAGTATGCAAAAATAGTCACACAAATCACATTAATTAAATGATTCCAAGATGTAATTTTTCTCCTAGGGTTTTGGTGAAATGCGAAAGTCGTCGACGACTCCGATGGAGGTGAAAGCCTTGGAAGGTCTATACATTACTGCCGTTACATGTGGTCTATCTCACACACTTATGATCTGCCGAGATGATACTGAAGAGGAAAGAGCCAAGATTAATAAGCTCCAAGTTTATTCTGTTTAAAGTATATTCTTCGACTGCGTAAACGGGTCTCTATTGAGTCACTACAGATGATCGAATCGGAAGGAAATTCTCGTTCCTTCAACGAATCACAGCTACGTTTTGATGAATTTTATAACAAGATATTCGAGACCGATTTACAGGATATTTAATAATTAAACAATAAATCTCGCATAGGAATAGAGCGGACTAAACTGAGCCGAAAAGTTCTCTACCATTTTGCAATTTTCGCAATAATTAACAAGATATCAATTACTAAAAATCATCAAATATTGGTTTTCAATAATTTTTTGAATATATATTACTATATCAAGTTTACAGAAAAACAACAAGAGACAAAAATTATTTATTTTTGTCTCTTGTTTTTCTGTAAACTTGAAATTATTTTATTTGAGCTCTCATAGAGCTCTAAGAATTTTTTCAGAATTTATCAACTTTTTAGTACTGTATTTTCTTATATTGGCAACTATTTTTACCAATATGAGAAAATACGATACTAAAAAATTTTTTGAAAAAATCTCAGAGCTCTCTGTAAAGTTGGTAGTACTTGAGTAAAAAATTATTGAAAACCAATTTTCGGCCATTTTTAGTAATCAATATTTTGTTAAATTGTGAAAATTGTAAAATGGTAGAGGACTTTTCGACTCAGTTTAGTCCGCTCTATCCCTATGCAAGAGTATTGTCATTACTTATCAAACACCCTGTATACTTTGTACTTCCAGTTTTTACTTAACGCGCGAAAAGTCGATCTGTGTAACATTTTGAAACTCATTCTGTTAGCAGCTCAGGATAATAGACCAAACAAGATAGATACAAAAATATATTTTGATACGTTGCTATTTTATTGAAGTTTGCCGTAATTTTCATCGGAATGGAGATAGTTATTCATATGAAGAAGTTGAACTGGAAAGTGAATTCGTAGAGCTCAACAGTAACTGCCTTTATTTTTATCGCTTTCTTAATAAATTTATCTATTCAAATAGTTTATATAATTGATTCATCACAGTAGTACCTGAATCATTACATCTGCAGGAATCGTTTTTTACAATGCAAATACAGGGATAATCCCTGAATAGGATTAACGCGAGTAAGCCATCATTCAACTAGGTAATATTTTAACGGTTGTATGTGAATTAAATTTCGGTACGTTTGATTAATTTCATAGGAAGATAATTTAATTTTTTTTATGTAAAATGTCACGTGTATTGTGAAAATATATATATTTAATTTTATTTTTAATAATTTTTACGCATATGTAAAATTAATGAATATTATATATTTTGAAGTGATAAAAAAGAGCTGTGGAAGTCGTAAATTTGTTTTATTGCTAGATTAGAGAGAGAATCCCAAATTCACAGGCGACTGACTATACACGTATTTCGTATTTTAAGGTCTTTCTTTCAAGATAAATCATATAACACATTTCTCTCATATATGCGTTGTACGAGATTACTATCATAGATGCATTAAAAATGTTTGATCGAGACACACAATAAAATAGAATAAATCAGAAATTGCGTTTAGTATCTCACACATATTAATGAATTTACAATTCTGATCACTGCCAGAATATATTACGAACATCTTTCATTGTGATGTCAGACATTCATTCCATTCCGTTCCATGTAATACTCTCGTGCAATTTTTGCACTGAAATATTCTTCTGATAAACTTGCGATGAATGTACAAGTCCAAATATGAAATAAACGAATTTTTTAAGAAATTTTTTCCATTGAAAACCTTTATCTTATTTAGCAACTTTCAAGAGAGAAAATGTTCGTTTTAATTTTTACATTTTATTCTTTCATCATTCAAGGTATCGCTTCTTTTTGCAAATTTCATTTTTGTTTGCTGTAAAAGCCGATCATATATTGGCATTTTTGTACATTTCCAATAACATTCTTTAATACGATATAATTTCTGTTGTTCTGAACACACGACATAAGCAATATCTTTCACAACAGCTTTATTTGAGCATCTAATGACGTTTTCTCCTTCACGTTTACGTTCTTGCTATTTAACAAAATTATATATTTTATAAACTATATAAACTAAAAATGGTATTTTCTGTATTAGCCAATTTTATTTCAATTTTACTTATATGTTAAATGTTATCTATTACTAAAAAATACTAAATGTATGTTTTTACCATAAGCTCTTGATCCATCAGAATCATACTAGAAGCGATAATTTGTTGAAAATCATGTATTTCCTCTTGTGGGACATTTCCATACTTCCAACGTAGCAATTGGTGGGCTATGTAATGTATAGGATCTGATGGACGATATCTCCAAGCTCTGCTTATCGCCCACGATAGTGGCACCAACACATTTTGTCTATACATACATTTATATATGCATTATATAATTTATTACATTATCATGCTTATTTCATATAAATTCATTAATATAATTGTAAAAGCTATAAAATACTTCAAATAATCATTTTTTGTCATAGTTTTACTGGCTTGTTCTTTCAGCAATAAATTCGAATAACGAGGGCACGAGGTAAGATTACACTGCATGCTTGTGACAAAAATATTTGAAAATATCATTTCATCTAAACTACAAGAACAAGATGTCTTCGATGAATTATCATATATTGTGTCAAAGGTTTTTCCTTCCAGGAAAATAGAGCATGATTCTAATATTGTTAAATTGCAGTCACATAATATTTCCTATTAATTATTTCAATTTTAAAATATATTTTTCATTTTTCTATATGCACTTTATCTAATATTCCTTGAAATTAATTATACGACACCTCGGTTACTTCCAAAGCTTCTTTTTTTTTATATTCATTGTATCCAAGATCAATTAGAATATCTTCTGCCTCATCATCGATACCATTCTCTTCTACATAATTACAAGTGTCTTCATCGATCCCAAGCTTTCTCAAAAAACGGATTGTTGTTGGTGAAATTGGTTTAACTTTTCCCTGCCAGTTTATAATTCCTGGAACATCAATGCCACTCGATAAAAGCCGATACAATATACTTTTATCTTGAGACACCAGTCCACATGTAATAATAGTCCAACATTGATCTTCAGTTAATCCAGCGGCAGCCAGATTCCAAATAAATTTATCGTTAAGTTTTTTTATCCATGTATCTCCGTTTATTTTTGCTCCAAAATCTTCGAAATATTTCAGTTCCTCAGAAGTAAGTCCAAGGAGACCATATTTCATTGCCTTTACAATACTTTGTGGTGACATGCCTAAAATTTACTATTCAATGTAATAGAACGATAAATAATGAAATGCATAGAAATTCTCATGAGAACATCTTGATACCTTTTTCTTCTAGTTTCAGTAAAATACATTCATTATACATTCCACTGTGCATAATAAAATGTAATGATTTATCGCATTGCGCATCAGTACACACAGATAAGGATTTAATATTGTTACATCGCACAAGTTTGTCCTTTAGCAAATTCAGTAATCTCTCGTTACTCCATCCACCGTAGATAAACATTCCTTTATTTGTCAATTTTATATATAATTTTGTCTCATGTAACGCCTCCTCTTCTGTTATATTTTGCATATTTGACATTTTCAAACAGATATAAATCATACAAATTAAGAAAGTACCTAAATGCTAAGTCATTTTACGGAGACATATTATAAATGTCAAAATGTAAGCTAATTATTTTGGCAATTGTTATCGTTTGTTATGATCGTTCATCGCATGTGTGTATGTGTAATATCTTTTTTTATATTAAAATAATATTACATATACCTAAAATGTTTTTTTTTATTTACAAATAATTTATAATATGTAATTTATATAGAGCTTCTCAGAAATATATATATTCGCAATCTTTCGCGAAATGCACTGTACGGATTCTCTTTGGTAAAAAAAGCAATTTTTTCCTCTAGCAAAATTATATTTAAATAATTTTTAATAACAATTTAAATCTCTGAGGCCCGGTTGCACCAACGTTACTTCAATTTTAAGCGAGGCTTAAAACTCTCTTCCTGTCTCTTTTCGGTTTTAAAACGAGAAAGAAAGTTTTAAGTTTCGCTTAAAATCAAAGTAACGTTAGTGCAATCGGACCTAAATAAGCGCTCTAAATTACGCTTATGAATCAGTGATGCACGTTGAACGTATGTACACTGTTTTACTTGGAAATATTTCATAATGACTGATGCATGATACTTAAATATCGCTATTACGATTTGTGTGTAACAAGAGAAAATTTTTTAACTGTGATATCATTGAAAGTAAAATAAATCTTTAAACAAAGAATTTCTTAAAATCATAAGTGTTAAATATAGGTAAAAATGTTGTTCAGTATAGCCGTCCCTCTTCGATTTTCCTGTAATTTTGTAAATGTTTACTTTCGTGCGTAGAATATATTCCGAGACGGAATATCGTCGCTCAAGTTCGTTTTTTTATTATTTAATTCCAAAGGTTTTTATGTCGGTAGTTGAAAAACGATAATTTAATGATATTTTACAACTGCGCTTACTCATTAATGTCGTCATTTATGAGTTATAATATCTCAGTTCAGATATAAATAAAGTATAAAACGGGATTCAGTCGAATAGCTTAATAATAGTAAAAAAATAACTTAATTATATAAGAAAATTCGTATTTTTAATTAATTAAAACAGAGAATTTGCAGATATACAATTTGAATCACAAACTATCCACTGCTACAATTTAAATTGGTTTATGATTCAAAATGTATGTCTGCATATTCTCTGTTCCTTTAAACGCTGCCAAAAATTTGCCAAAGATATACGCATGCTCAAAATAAGGCTCACGCCAGTCCACGTATCCAATCACAGATAGATGTACATCTTGAACCAATTACAGAGAGGTATACAACAATTTGAATCGATCCGGACTGAATTAATGACACAGCAAGCTCTACTATTAGACCATGTAACATCAACAATAGCAAAGCATTAATCCAATCCAGGTCGGTTTAAAACCCGCTGCAGTCGAAAAAACGCTATTAATTCATAAATAACAACATTAATGCGCAGTGGTAAAATGTTATTAAATTATCATTTTCCAACTTACCAATATCAAATTTTAAAATTAAATAAGAAAATGAGATTTGAGCAACGCTTTTCTTTTTCAGAATGTATTCTGCGCATAAAATTACACAAATTTACAAAATTACAAGAAAATCGAAGAGGGAAGCACTCTACTAAACATTTACTTAAATATGAATTTACAACTAAAATAAATCATATTCAGACATAAACACCCAGACAACAAGCTAACGTTATTTACCATCATTTGACATCAAAATAACGATAGTGTCACTTTGCTACTTGAGGTATATATATATAAAAGGAAGATATTACGAGCTTGTATTGCGAGCATGTATTTCAACAAATATTTAATTAGGCTTTTTCAAATTCATATCTTTAGAGAGCACGAAAAATATTTTGGATCTAATTTACTTGTCTCTAATCTTAAATTCTAATTGAATTATTAGAGAATATGTGAACTTATTTTACTTTCAACTGTTACTTCAAAGATATCAATTAGAAGACTTCTGATATCTATTTCTTATTAAGTTTCTAAATGTGATATTTAGGTATCATGTATAGGTATTTTGAAATCTTTAGAGAAAAAGTAACCACACGCTATCCCTAATTTTGTAATTTAGAGCATTTTAAATTTCGTTAACTTTAAATTACTCATTCAAACATTATTACTAGAATATAATTTTGTCAAAGGATGAAGTTTTTTCTGGGGGCAGAGAATTGCATTCCGTATATAATATACAAATTCTGGGATACACTATATACCATTATCATATATAATTGTATTAAAATCTCTATATAAAATATATACTCACCACTTTCTCGGCGCGTATATATTTCCGATAAGAGATACATATTATGGCACCTACAAATTAGCACACACAATCGACAAAGTAATGAAACAACATTCTTAGATATATTTTTACATTATAATACAGGTTTTTCAAATGTAACAATGATATGCGTCAAGCGCACGTATATGTGCAAAATATAAAACATCAAACACAATCGAAAAGACTATAAAAATGTTCGAATTCACTGGTACAAAAACGTGATCGACACACACAGCCACCGACTAGGGTCCATACAAATGTCTTGAGTGTGTCTACGAATACTTCTTTAGTATTTGTAAATCATGTATTTACACAAACACAAAATTTTGCTCGACATCATAGATTTCTAAGCCAGATTCAACTTAGTCTCTAACGATAGTTTGTACGTTTAGATGTGTACTTGATAGAAGCAAGTATGTACATGCTTATCTTCTGATAAGTTTTGCACAAACTGAATATATAGCTTGTATGAAGTGGTGACTTATTAAGCTTGATCCTTTCCAAATTACACTCAATGTGTTTATCCCTCGAAATTAAAATACTTTTCGCGCAAGATTTTCAAACTTAACACATTGTATACACTATTGTTATCAGCACACATACTTTTCACAGTCGATTACAGCAAACTGCAATAACAGTTTGAATACGCATCTTGCTGTGGATGATCGTTACTCAACTGCATTCCTCTCTTTCCCATTCGATGCCTTGCACCACCCATAGTACCGTTGTCATATAGTCGTGTAGAATAAGTATCCCAAAGACCAGGTGTTTGTATAATCTATTACATACACAATGTCATATTTTATATAGTTCTATAAATAAGGATAAATATTTAGAATCGCTTCCTTGCCTCAAATCTTAATAAAAATATACTCATTCGATGTGTATTTACTCAAAATAAAAGAATTTGGCAGAAAAATGCGATAATTCAACTCGCAAAACTCAAACTTTAACTCCTAATAACTATTTCAGACAGATCATTGTGTTTTTCTACTGCATTCTTTCATTTTGAGTGAATATACATTGAATGAATATATTTTTATTAAAATTTGAGGTAAGAAAGCGATTCTAAGTAATTACCTAAATAAGTAAAAATATATTACAAATGAATAAGTTGTAATGATAATCAGTTATAACTGATCCACTGGCGCTAAGTGGAAAGAGGGCATTATCTTCATGCAAGTTATTTTTGAATATCCTGATTATCAGATCTTAACAAAGATTTAAATTGTATAAAGTGTTTTTTTGTAAGTAGATTCTGCAATTCTTGTTTTTAATGTTATTGGTATTATAATGCAATCTATTAAATTTTTTACATCATATATATACTAAATTTCGTAGTTCTATAAAAACAACAGAATGTTTTTAATTACCAAGTAATTGTAATCTTCACTGAATCGTATTGTACATAAAATTATAATTACTAGGTAAATTCTGATATACCTTTTGTACAAGTTCTTCAAAGCAACATTTTACGCCATCTGCTGTTTTTGCGCTGCTCTCAATGTATAGAGTTTGGTGCCTTCTAGCAAATTGTAGACCTTCTTCGGTGCTCACCTCTCTATTTGACAAGTCTATTTTATTGCCTACTACCATCTTGATGATATCTGTTTTATTGCAGTATGTATTCAACTCATTGAGCCATGTCTCCAATTTCACAAAGGTATTTCGATCCGTAACATCATACATTAGGATAGCACCTTGACCATCTCTGTAATAACTCGGTGTTAATGTGCGAAATCGTTCCTGGCCGGCGGTGTCCTGTAAATAGCGCGCTTTAATAAATCATAATACACTCCATAGATTAAGTTATCCTCTTGTCGCAAAAATATAACTGTGATTACAAACCCAAATAGCAAGTTTCACTACATTGTCGTCGATGGTAACCTGCTTTGTCTTGTAGTCCATCCCGACTGTGCTCTGCATGTTTTCGTAGAACTCATCCTCAGTGAATCTCAGGAGTATGCTGGAAATACCGTAGTACCGCCGATTATAGTTTCGGTGCGAGAATGAATTGCACTTTGCAAATTACCTCGATTTCCCTACATTGGATTCGCCTATCATAAGAATTTTCAGTATCGTCAAATAGTCTTCCTGATCCATAATAATCTGCTGACCACAGCTGATCACTGCACTCACGATATCAAGTCGATGTATCAATCAGTTAACGTTAGCACTGAAATGAAACAAACACCAATATCTCTCTTTCTTAACGTCTTCGTAACGTCACGAATTTACCTATGAAATGTGATGGTAATCCCAACAATGTTGCCAACTCAATGAGGGCCACTTCGACCAACTTCGATTAATTTTAAGCTGTGCTCCAAAATTCACTGCCAGTGCTGAAAATGGCTGCGTTCAGTAGACCCAACAGTTTTGCAACCGTTTTATGATTCGTCGCATTGATTGGATTAGTCCGGATCTACAATAGGTGTTTTATGCCTTATGCTGTAAGAAACTGACCAATTACAGTCGAATCCGAGAAAAATAAGCGACTGTGATTCGCCCATTTCTTATGGCTTAATGCTTAAAACCCTATTGTAGATCCGGAGTTATACTTTTAGATTTAAAGGAATAGTCCTATCTCAGCGAAGAATCACAAAACGGTTGCAAAACTGTTGAGTCTGCTGAACGCAGCCATTGTATAGTAGAGTAGAGCGGACTCACAATTGATGAATATCAAGCGTCCATTTGATCACGTGATCCTTTTTGTCGCTAAAATAGCCGGTTAGAGCAGCTCGTGAAAATTTACCTTCATGCTGGATTCACCCTGCATCCGATTTGCGTCGTACGGCGCTCTGCAACCAATCAAAAAACAGGATTCCGATGGATTTTGCTTCGTATCATCGGAATCCTGTTTTCTGATTGGTTGCAGAGCGCCGTACGACGCAAATCGGATGCAGGGTGAATCAGCATATGTCTTTGGTTGCAACACTTTTTCTTCGATGGGTTTCGGAACGCAGCTTGCTCTCCGAGTGATTGGTTCTTATGCTGGATTCACCCTGCATCCGATTTGCGTCGTACGACGGTCTGCAACCAATCAGAAAACAGGATTCCGATGGATTTTGCTTCGTATCATCGGAATTCTGTATCTCTATATGTCTTTGATTGCAACCTTTTAATAACCAACTATACATATGCATATGCACATTTGCGAAAGTTGCACTATAATGGCAGAACTAATTAGAGAAGAGAAACACTATTCGCTCCATTCTCTCTTGATTCTCTCTAAAGGTAAATTTTCACGAGCTACTCTAACCGGCTGTTTCAACGACAAAAAGGATCACGTGACCAAAATGGACGCTTGATATTCGTCAATTTTGACCATGTGACTCTTTTTGTCGCTGAAACAGCCGGTTTGAGCAGCTCGTGAAAATTTACCTTGACACAAAAGGCCACTCGGGTGACGTTTCCGAACGCAACCACTGTATCATCTGTGCCTCTGGCGCCTCTTGTTGAAAATGTCAAGAAGGTCCTACTATAATGCCCGTTTCATTCGAAATCCGAATCACATAACCTTCTCTTTCAACCAATCAGCTGATGCTATGAAAGAAGGGAAGCCCATTCACCCATTGGTCGAAAGATCTGTCATCTGTTTAGTCGCAAATGTCGCGGACACCCTGTAGCTTCGGATCAGAGCTCGATTCGATCCGGAACTCGGAAGTCTTGGAACCCGGAAGGACAGAACAGTAGATTTGAGAAGGTTCGACTCAGGTGCGAGGGCACCACGCGGTTTCGCGGTGTGCGCTCGCAACCTGTCGGCTGTCGAGGGAAAAAACGCGACATCTCTGTCTCTTATCGCGCGACGTACCGTCCGTTCGCTCGCACATTCCGCACGCACACGCACGCGCACCAACGCGCACCACACCACAGGTGCGGGTAAGGGTTACAACCAGTTACAACACCCGAGATTGTGTTGGTGATTAATCAAAAAAAGGCCGTTCGCGAAAATGGCCGATGGATGCGAGCCACGGTTGTTTTCCACGAGGAGCCTGTACCATTTGTGCGTGTCCGCAGTGGTCGACAGGTTCCGCATCTACAAACCATACCTCGTCGACCTACCCAAGAGCGTGCGATTCGATCTCTACTATCAGGTAAAAAGGACGTCAAGCTGTGCCGTCGTCGGCGTGACGACGACAGGGTCACGGGGGAGAGGAGGGCTCCCGTCGATCGGAGTCACCTGCGTGCGATGATAGCCACGCTTGTTTCACTGTCTCCTCGCCTCGTCGTGAAATAACAGGAACGATACCGTTCGAACGCTCTGCGTTCCCAACGACGACGACGACGACGACCCGCGATCATCCACGATCTCGCGAGTGTCGTGTCGAGGACCCGACATCCACGGCACGACGAATTCGACGCGTTCTCACTGATTCTTCCAATTGGCCAATCTCGTTCCTCGATTGACTCCGATTGACTCCATCGTGTGTGCTTAATAATAACGTTTGACGTACCCTTGGTTTCTATCGGTCTGATCTCTTTCAGTTATACACAGAGAGGAGACTATGTATATTGGGAGCAGAATTGAGCGATCTGGAGACTTTCTCCAAGATGCTCAAGGTCACCAATCGTCGATTACAACTCCTAAAAATATTTCAGGTGAGCCTGTCCAGTACATGTTCTCAAGAACTTGGACCAAACTCGGATTAAATTAATCGGTAATTAATTCAAGCGATAGAATTGCCTAGAGCAAATTTTCAATTCGTCATTTCTAGTCTAATCTTTTTTTCCATATGTTAAATAAAAATTATTTCCATTTAAATTTCAAATACAATTTGATAGTTATTCACCGATTATATTAATCAAAATTTAGTCTAGACATCACTCTAATGTCAGTCTCTATCGATATAGATTAACTTACTTTTACTCTTTTATCTTTTTCAAATTCCTAGAACCAAAAAAAGATAAAAAGTAAGTTAAACCGAGATTAAAGTTAATCTATATTTATAAAAATAAAAGAGGCTGTCTTATGTCACTTTTTTTCCAACATCAGAAAATACTTGGCATTTTTATATTTTTGGAACTAAAGGCGCCGATGGATCATAAAATAAGGATAGCGAAACATCTGGTCATCAGTTACAACATGTGCTGTTTCCAAGCAAGAGAGAGTCCTTTACCACAGGAAATTGATAAATTAATAAATCTGGGTTTGAGACTTGGTGGATTTCTTAGTGATGCTGGCTGGTACTCGGAAAGCGAAGAAGTGTTGTTAGCTTGCAAGCAATTATGTATGGACCACAATCAGACCCCAAAGGAATGGAGTAGGACATTAGATTGTTGTCACAAGTAAGAACGTTAACATACATGTTAGTAGGTTCAAAAAATTCCCATAATTGGTTTCTAACAGAAATAACTAATCCTACTTTTATTAATCCTACCTTTATACATTTATTTATATTTCTTTCAAAGCTGACCACATGTAATACTAGCAGAGCTAACGTTTTTAAAACTCTTGGAAGTATTTAATCTGTAGTTATCAATTTACTGACGTAAAATCTATCACTAATTAAATTTTATTTTATAACATCAGTTGTCGTAAAACTGGATTTAATCATGTTTATACAATATTTTACTCAATAGTTAACACTTTACAATCCCTGATCACAATCAACACTTTACAGTCCCTGAAATCTTACTCATATTGAATTTTTTTGCGTTGTTGGTTTTTGTGTTTTAGCTCCGAAACAAAAGTTGGACAGGCTTGCTGTATCGAATAACGTAATAAGTAATGAAAATATAGAGCAAGTTGACTTATGAAATTGAAAATAAATTTCAGAATATATTTATTCAGATAAATATTTGGACATTAAAGAAAAAGAATTTCGCGAAGATACCGAGTGTAAAAAGCGCAAACAACTAGAGATGTGCAAATAGTTCGAATTCATATTGAATTGATTCGAATCATAGTGGATTTGATTCGATTTCGAATATGAAAGATTCGAAAGTTCGAGTCACTGGTTTAATTTTGAATTCGCTTTTTTTTTTATTTGCTTCATTTTAATATAAATTCGAGAAAATTTGATTCAAATTCGATTCGTTTTCACATAAAAAATTGATTCGATTTGACGCAAAAATTTCAAATTCAATTCAATTCATTTTCGAATATATTATTGAAGATTCGATCTTGCAAATGCTTGATACGCACACATCTACAAACAATGCGAACAAACCTTATGTTATAAATCAATTCCAGGATCTTTTTGAACTTACTAGTACCCCATCATTTGCGAGTATCAAAAGACACGTACGCATCAAGTTCATACGCCATAGTTTATCTATACGTGAGCCATTTAGTTGACAGATTTTTAGAGCATCGGGTGTTACAATTTGTCACTCAATCAAACCGATCAAATTTTTAATAGGCTAAATATAATCTTCTGTCAATACATTTCAGGCTGTTACATGCACAAGCAGCATACCGCGATTTCGACGGGGCTGCGGAGACTCATCAGCTTGCCATGGAAATGATAGAAAAGTTAAAAAGCAAGGAACAATTATACAATAATAGCAATCACGCTGCCCTTTTTGCAGAGTTCAGTGTACTATTCTACATACGCAGTGAATACGATGAAGCTCATAGGTGCACTCCTACCTAATATTTGTTATTTCCGAAATAGATTACAATCGCCAGAAGTTAATCAGACTTTTTTTTATAAACCAATATAACAGGATTTTTCAACTGCAGTGTGCTGCAGAAATTTTAAAGACGGTAAAGGATGATTACGTTTTGTAAAACGCATGATGCGCGTATTGTTTTATCTTTGTTTCGGTGAACAGCAAGAATAAAATAATTTATTATGTGTATCATGCGCTTAAGAATGTTCGATAGCTATATATTAATAGCATATATGTTAATATTTGGACTTTGAACAAAGTATATAAAAGTTGTGTAACATTCTGTTTTTATTGAACATTTTTAATTTATTTACTTTATTTATTATTTTTGTTGTAAACTAAAATTTAAAAAATAAAAAATTAAATGTTTTAAATAAATACTTTATTCTCTCAGAATAACGTATGCAAGGTTGCATTCACCGATTAATTACAAATATTTTATTTATTTACTAGACAATTTCTGTATCACAATGTAACTTTACATAAATAATCTTGAATACCTAAAGTACTTGTATTTAAAAAAATTGTCATTTATTTTATAATACATTTCTATTAGAGTACAGATTTAAAAAATACTATTTATTGAAATAATTTTAACTAAGATCCAGACAGTTTTTGTTATATTACTTTTTAATGCAATTTAGAATAATCTATAATTTTTTTTATAATTTTGTTATTATTTTGAAGTATTTATCGAATATTCTTAACGAAACGCCATTGTAATAAAATTACTTTAAAAAGAATAGAATACAAAATATAACTGTTGAACTTTACTTTTTATTTTTGAATATCGTGTTGAAAATATCTGATAAGATTTATATTGAGCATTGAAACGTAATTATAATAGTATATCTCAAAAATTTGGCTTGCTATTTAATGTACCGCGAATTAAAAAAAGGTTGAAAAATACTGCGATATAAATTGAGAATTGAAATTGAATCAGACTATAAATTGATCCTTAATGATATTAAATAACATACTTATTTTAAGTAATACTTTATATATATATATATGTATATATATATATATTTCTAACATTTAATTAAATACTGCCTATCATCCAGTTGGAGTACACTAGCATTAAAAGAATTAAGACCGTCGCTTCCCGCGGGAATTATTGTCGACGTTCTGAGACAAGCGGCAAAGTCGTGCGTTGTGAAACGAGAGTTCCAGAAAGCTGATTTATTGATCAAAGAAGCTGTATATCTTGCGAGAGAAATATTCGATACGGATCATCCAAAGTATAGCGACGTTCTCATCGATTATGGATTTTTCTTACTAAACTTCGATAGTATCAGCAATAGTGTAACTATATACAAGGTATTCATCTTTAGAGTTCTTTATGAATCTTCGTAATCTTTTGTGAAGACGATTGTAAAACGTTTCGTCTTATACTTTAGACTGCGTTAGATATTAGAAGAACGATTTTCGGCAGGACTAATCTTCATGTTGCTTTGGCACACGAAGACTTAGCTTACGCTCTCTATGTACATGAATATAGTTCCGGCAGATTTGACGATGCAAGGTAATTAATTAGAAATACATTCGATTTATTGTATATTAACAGTACAATTTACTTTTGTTTTGCAGTGAACACGCTGGAATAGCTATAGATATTATGGAAAGACATTTACCCCCGAATCATTTAATGCTTGCAAGCGCTAGAAGAATAAAGGCACTTATTCTCGAAGAAATTGCTATAGATAACGCATCCACGCCATTGTCGGAACAAAATCTCTTACTCAAGTCCGAATGTCTTCATTTATCCGCTTTAGAAATGTCGAAAACTGCATTCGGCGAAAGAAATGTACAAACGGCAAAACATTACGGAAATCTGGGTCGCTTATATCAGAGTATGAGGAAGTTTCAGGTAATTTATATATTTACACTGTATATTTTATTATTTTCTTGTATTTTTAACATGCGTGTGCTTTAGGAAGCGGAAATGATGCACCTAAAAGCTATTGGTATTAAAGAAGAATTATTAGGACCTGACGATTATGAAGTGGGCTTGAGTATAGGGCATTTAGCTTCTTTATATAATTTCCATATGAATCGATACAGAGATGCCGAAAAGCTCTACCGTCGTAGTATCGCAATCAGTAAGTATATATATTTTAATTAAGTCCATTCTGACACGAAATGCCATTGCACTTCACAAATTTCACATTGACAGGCTTGAAGTTATTTGGAGAAGGTTATAGTGGTTTAGAATACGATTACCGAGGACTTTTACATGTGTACAATAAGTTAGAGGATTACGAGAAAATATCGGAATATACAGATACATTGAATCATTGGAAAGAGCTTAGAGACAAACACGCTCAATCTGAAGAACCACCGATCGATGTACAAAAACATCCACAACCAATCGCAAATGTAATGAATGTGTTCTTTTCCATGTGATATATCAATAAGTGTGTCTAATTTTCAAATCAAATTTTATGTCATTGTATGTCATCAAGCAACTTGCTGGTCTCCGTTGCGTTTACAAGACATTGGGCCAAAGTAGGAAGGAAAAAAGTTATAACTGGATTGTATGAAAATCATTGTAGAAATTTGTAAATCATTGATCTGGTCTTATGAATTAATAATTTCATCTCTTATATCGATATTTTATAACACGTGCGTAGTGTCTCTATCAAATAAGAAACAAATTGAATTATTATCAATAATATTAAGGAATTGGAAAGAATACGGACGTTAGGAGTCAGGCGCAGAAGACGTCGCGCAAATAATATAATTATGAAGCTTGAAACTTCTTTATTTAACAAATGCGCTTACATGTTTCGGCTCATTTTTGAGCCTTCCTCGGTTTATAAGAATACTCTTATAAACAACTTTCAACTTCTTATCACGAGGTAAGGGGTCTCCTTATGTATCCTAATAAATTCACTCAATTTATTAACACTATAAAACGATACCCTCATATGCTCGCTATTCAATCTACTAAGCTTCTCAGTAATATCACGAACGAAAGAAAGGCTCAAAAATGAGCCAAAACATGTAAGCGCGTTTGTTCAAAGCCACGGTAGTGTCGCTGCGCGAAGCTTAGCGCCGAGACACTACCAGTATCTCCAGATAAAGAAATTTCAAGCTTTATAAGTGTATTATTTGCGCGACATCTTCTGCGCCTGACTCCTAACGACCGTATTCTTTCCAATTCTTTGATTTATAAGGAGTCTTGGTTAGTTTGATTTGTTATACAATAATATTAAATTCAAACGATGTAAGAAAATATTAATTTAATTTATAAATTTTATTAGTCATGATATTGCAATATAAACATTGATGGGGCTTTTTTTTAGTTGAGTTACTGTGCTTATGCTGAATTATATTTAGACTTGATGTCTTTGTGTTATGTTTCGATGTATTAAAAATTTTTGCAGATAAAATATCTTTTTTTAAATATTTTGTATTTATATATAAAATTTTAATATAAATTTGCTAATGTTTAATCTGATTTGCATACATTTTATGTACATACACACACATATATATATACATATATATACACATACATACACATATACACACACAGGATGTTCCAGAATATTTGGGACAATCTTCGTGTGCAGATAGAGAATCGAAGATTCAGTTTAATCCGTTCTATTTGCACATGAAAATTTTCCCAAGTATTTTGGGACATCGTGTTTGTGTGTTGGTTCATGCGTGCGCGCATGTGTGCATGGTAGTGAATCGTAAAGTATAAATATATACATGCATATCTGTATGCAGGTGCGTGCGTGTTTGTGTATGTGCGTGTGTGTGTATGGGTGGGTGTGGGGGTGTACATACAGATATAATACACATGTTTATACTTTACAATTCGTTAATGATTACTGAACTACTTTCAAAGAGAGTCGCTCAGGTTTCATATAAAATATTTTTTTATGATTGTTTATCGAACACATTTATAATATGTTTAATTCATTGTTCATCTCAAAATTACATTGATCGTAGATCTTCACGCATTGCATAATTTTTAAGTAATAAAAAATATTCAAAATACAAGCACTTGTGTTTATAACAGTAATGTAGTTAAAGAAATAGGAATTAAAACTCGATGAACGATTTGTTGAACATTGTTTTGCTACATAAAGTTACCTTCTCACTTTGTAAAATTTTGACATCTAAATTTAAAAATACCTCCTATATACATCCTATATTTTGTCTAGCAGTTTGTTCTTGTATAAATACCATAATGAATACAGATAATTAAAATCTAGACGCGCGCGTGTCCTTGGACTCCTCCTAGAGATATCTTGAGATCATAAAATTTTCAAATTCTCGCTAATTATTTACAAGTGTTTTTGCAGATTCGTATCATTTCAATTAAAAAAATTTATTTAGGCACTCTTTAGATAGATATCAAATGATAGAATATGTGATCTATCCAATGTAAACTTGTATAACTGAATAAATAGTAAAGCCTCTAATAAATTCAGACAATATAAAGGTAACAGGCGCTCAAGATGTAGTTGACAATACATAATCTATTTAGCGATATTGTGTAAATTATGATTAATTTATGAAAATTTAATTTAAATAGATTACATGTTATCAACTGCACTACAAATTGCTCTTGTATTGTCATTAATTATTGTATCAGAGCTAACAGTCATAAGATGAATTAAATTAGTTGTACATTCTATTTTGTTTTTTTTTTATCAACTATTAAAAGTATCAATCCATTTTTTTATATTAAAAAAAGACAGAATTAAAGTAAACCAAAAATATTCTATCAAACAGTTAAATATTCTCTTTTATAGACTTGGCAAAATTCTCAATCAAAGATCTGAGAGATCCGTAATTAAATGAAGATAGATAATGTAATATAAATACTCACAATATTCTTCTGTATAACTCACATACATTCAAAAGCTTTAATCTGTTTAAATTACAGTAACCATTAGGTAATACATAACTTTATATTTACACGATATTTCTTATATCACTCCGGTTTTCAGGTAATAAGAATCTTATCTAATCCCATTTTTATGCTATCAACACGTCTAACTTTCTCTCTGCAAACAAAAGAGAGTCATCGTTAGTCACCTAATGATCGGTATAGTTTTGAGATACTAGTCAACGTATTACCGGACTGATATTGCACATCTCGTTAAACTATGTTAAAGTCCCGTAACTTTAGAACATTTAATCAGGTGTATGTGGAGGTTCTTGGCTGAAGTATGGTGCGGTATCTTGCACTAATAAAGTATGACAAACATCACAGACTCTGGATGGTCTTTGTTTCGGCCCACTGTTCACAACGTGTGAGAGGCAAGATTGACAAAATATATGGCCACAGTGACGGCAATGTACCTATGGACATTAAGCCTCTTTAATTCCGTTACATGAAATCCCCAAATATTTTTACACTTAAAATGAGATAAAGATGAGTGCAAAAAATGCAAACAACGCGAATTATCCTTATACATATATACAGAATGTATCCAGCGCTGCCATTCAGTCACTTAAATCACTTTTTATCGGTTTTTTTTTTTATAAGTTATTACAAAATCACTATCATTCAAATTAAGTCATTATAGTCATTTTTTTTCCTGTGACTTGAAATTTGCATATAAATTTAAATGTTTTATTCATATTTTATCTAGTCTGATAACGATTGCTCTTACTGTTACTCATTGGACATTAGTCCAGTGTCTCAGCATGTGATTATTAGGACTCGAGTATTTGATTTCTCGCAGAGCAATGTGCTGCGTGTGAGTAAAATAATATTTTATGAGAAGATCAAACGTTTGCGCGCGCGCTAATCATAATTTATTCGAATGCAATCTCACTTTCATGCAGTTGTACTCAAACTTTCAATCACATAAACATTTGAGTTTAGTTGATTTTCTATGCGTTATGCAAAAGTGTGCTCCCCGCTTTATTCTGCATCTCGCAATTTAAATGCTAGATTAGCTAGACAAGCGGCATGGGTAATGAAATACTTTTTAAAAGTAACTTCCTTAACTGTGGGTAAAAATTGAGATATTTTGATAATTTTCCAGCAAAAAACACATTAACAGAATTTAACTTTTGCAGGAATTTTTATTGTCCAATATTAAAAAAATTTTTAGTTTAATTTTAAAATACTTTTTATAATTGATTTGTAATTATCAAATAAAAAATATTTATCTTAATATGCAATTTTAATATTAAAATCATATTTAAAATAAATTTTCATACAATACATTGGATTACAAAAACTTTAAAAAATTAATTTGTATTCTTTACTGAATAATTATCTTTAAAATGAATCATCTTTTCAATTTAACTACTCAATGGCTTTTGTCGTTCGAAGTTTATGCTGAAAACAAATTTACTATATGGTAGGACTTTTTCGTCCATTCTTCACCATAATATTTGTTTTTAAACAGCACATATTGAATATTTGAAGATTCTGCTGTCAAGAAGTAATTATAATTGTATGATATAGTTGTGTAAGCACGTCATTGCAAAGAAATATAATTTATCGTAAATTTTCATATTACTTTAAGGTTGAAACTGACGCAAAATAGACTCGCCTTATCATATGTTAAATTATCCAAAACATACGAGAAAATAAGAGTAATGTTTTTTCTTTGCTCAAATGGCTTAAATTATTCTAAAATTTTCATGAAAAATGTCTTTTTTTTTGGTATTATTTTAATGCTCAAGAGATTATTTTTTGTCACCTTTTTTTGTTAAAAAGCAGTTTTGTTAAAAAGTATTTCACTTTTTTGGTCTGCTGACTGGATGACAACGCTGGATGTATCTTAACAAAGTGCCGAACCTATTTCGTTTAACTTTCCGTTTACGTCGCACAATATCGTCAACTGGAGAGATATAGGCAGTGTGAGCTAAAGTAAATAAAAAGAACGAGAACAAAGTGATGCTGGGATGACTAATGAATCGTCACACAAAAGAACAATACAATTTTGTTTTCTGAAGTAGATCTAAATATTTTAAAAAGTTTTTGAGATCGGCATGGCGTGTAAACGGAAAGTTCGGTGCCGGTCTGTAGGAACCGGTGTGGCGTTTAACATTTAATAGTGCCCAATAAAGTCCACTAATCATACAGCACTATTTCTGATCAAAAATTGAGTCGAAAAATCCTGAACCATTTTTTTTACAATGCTCAAGGAAGCAGTTATTATCGAATAATCAAATCGATGTCATCCTTTAGGCTTTAGGCATATGCCGTGCTCACTACCAGACGCGTAACTCACTAAGCGTCCGTTTAAAGAATGGCTAATTGAATTAGCTTTACTTAGTAATTACTTGTTTCATTGAGTATTGTAAAAAAAATGGCTCAGGAATAGAGCTGTATTGATTAGTGGACGCTATTTACGATACACCTCGTATTTACGTATATGCGTGTGCATATAGATCGTAATTTAACTTATGCTTTTTCAATTTACCTTCTTTTTTGTAACTGAAAATGTAGTATGGCAACTAGGACACTCTTCAACGTCCTCTTCATGTTGCCATCTTACTTCACTACCTGCCTGCCTAATCCTTTCCAGTTGTACCTATATGTGATCATTAAAATAATTATTACTTTGTATATTACAGTTCTACTTAGAGTTTATAATATTTATAATATATATAATGAGCTATCTCTTATTTATATATACAAACTTTTTCGATAATTTTGAATCAACTTTATATGTCGATAAAATACACACGTACACAACTTTAAATTCATTGTTTACATTATTTTTATTACCTGTAATGATTGTGATAATCTAACAAAGTCTTTCTGTACTGCCTCACTAGTATCTAATTCTTGCTGTAAACTCATAACTCTTTGTCGTAGTTCACTTATAACTGAATCTGCATCCTTCTTCTCTTTTTGGATTTCCTGTAGCTGTTTTTCCAATCGATCAAGTTTCTCTTCTCTATCAGCGAGTGTACGATGATCTCTTATGTATTTATCTAATTGTGCTCTATAAATTATTCAACAGAGTAAAATTATGTTAATGTTTATGGTATTAAACAATCACAGTTAATAATTTTGTCGCACATATAAAGTCAGTATATACAACCGCTCACCTCAACCCGCTTATTTCATTCTTTAAAACGGCAATATCCTGTTCTTTAACCCTACTCTCTTGCTCCATTTGTTCTCTCAATAAAGTAACTTCATATCGCAATGTCTCTTCCTTCTCTTGTGCAACTTCTTGAGCTACTTTGGCTGTAATTAAATCCTCACGCATCTTTAAAAGACTCATATGCAATTCCTCAACAGTGTTTGGCATGTTGATGCTTTCACTTTGAAGTTGTTGCGAATGTTTGCTATGTTTACCTACAAGATTTTCATTCTCCATCTGAAGTCTGCAAACATATCGGTACATTTGGAATAAAAAGCTTTATCAATAATATACTAATATAATATTATCTGTATTTCTTATTTTTATATGCAATTTAACTTTGTATATATGTAGCGCTACTAAAAATTTGTCAGAAAAGGATCATCTTACGCAGTAAGATGTCTCTGTACTTCTTCTCTGCCTCGTGTCAATTTAATAAGTTCCTCCGATACGTTCCTTTGAATTTGTTCAAAAGTTTTCTTTAGTTCTAATAAATTTTGTTGCGCTGTCTGCGAGGTAACAGTGAGTTCCGCAACTTTGATTTTATGCTCTTCCTTCTTCTCATTCCACTTTTCCTCCATCTCTTTTCGAAATTCAACTTCCTTAGCTAGATCTTCCTTTTGAGCTTGTAGCATACGTTGTGAATCCAACAGCTGCTTCTCTAAATTCTTGGCAGTCGCTTCTACTTTGACTAATTGTGCTTCGTAGTTTGCACACATATCACACGATGGCTCAAAGGAACCAGGTTCCTGCTGCCGTTTCTTTAATAGAACTTCTTTACATTTTTGCAATTCATCATCGGTTGACCTTAGTTTCTCTTTTAAAGCTTTTATTTCCTCTTCAAGTGGCACAACCAACGAACGTAAAACTTCCGCATCTTCTTGCGCCTATGAAATTACACAGTTTTTATCTTTGCAACAAATATTATGAATATTATTACTGAGAGACAAGCAATTTAATGTATCTAGAAAAATGTTAGTGTCACTTAAATATATCACAAAAAGAATATAAATTTAACCCTCCATCAGTCATATGGAATTTTACACCTTCCATCAGCAAAGTGAGTAGCTTCAGTGCAAATTTTTATATTGTTCTTAACTGTATAAAAATCTGAAAAAATTCTTATATACTTGTAAAAACTTTAACAATGAAACTATTTTTACTAAAAGTCGAGTTGAATTTTACTTATTGTAGATTTCAATTTACCTTTAGAATTCTCATAATCAAAATATCAACTATGTTTTCAAAATCCAACTTGATCACTCAACAGAAGGTTAATTGTGCAAGGGTTATAAATGTTTCATGCAATTTTAGATTTACGTACATATTTTTTTACCTTCCGCATGCTTTCTTCTAAATTGTCAGGACCTAAAGATAAAGAGTCCGCGCCTAATTGTGAAACCACTTTTCTAGCTAATGTTTTAGTTACTGTAGACAATGAGATTTGTGGTCCGTCCGTTGGCGGATCGCGTGGCAATTGTGTTTTCAATAGCGCGTTCTCTTCTTGGAGCTTAGAAAGAGTCAATTGCAATTTGGACACTTCGCTAACAAGCTGTTTTCTCGAGCAAGAAGACTCCTCCACCGTTTCATGTATAACTTGTTGTAAAGACGCTATTTCTTCCTGAGCCTTCCTCTTCTCTATCAATATATGATTTTGTATTTTAAGATCTGCGACGACTAGTTGGCTCTTAGCCTCATCCAGCTCATTCTTCAGTCTCAGATTTTCCTTCTGAAGGCCCATATTTTCCTCCAGTCTCCGCTTTAATTCCTCTACAAAATATATTGATTCTAGACTTGATAAAACTACCAAAGAGCTACTTGCCCAAGGTTCGAGTTGTATATGCTACATACCTTCTTTCTGAAGGAACAATTCTTTCATCTTAGCCCTTTGTACATTAAACTCTTCTCGCATCTTAACGTTCTCTGACTCCAATCGGCTGATCTTCGCCTGAGGATCCTCTGAATCATAACAGACACTTTTAATGAAATTAAATCGTATCGTGAGGGAATTCTCTACATTAACAAATATGCGACGTCGCAAAAGAAGCCCGACAAATGAATAAATTGTACTTTTTTAAATATCTTGTTTTTGTATTTTTTTTTTCTTCCGAGTGTCGTGATGACGATGTCGACAAGGACCTAAATAAAGACTACTGCTATGGTGACATACCGTTTCCGTTTGCTTTGACCGTCCGATCGTCCTGATTCTCCATTGTATGATCACTTGGCGTGGACGAGAACGACAATTTTGCCGGGGTGGATCACTGCCACGGACAAGGATTCGGAGAGCATATCTCGGAGCTCAGCCGGGAGTGGCCACCTCTCGACAACGATGACAACGATAATGACGTCGATAACGGCGATGGCATGCCGCTGACCAGTGTCAGTGACTCATAGTGACTCGAACAAAACCAGGTCCAAAACGCAAATAAAGAGTCAAGAACGAAAATCGCCGATAGTCGGATCACGGAAGCGAACTCAAGAACCGGAAGCGACCTCGCTTGTTCGTCCAACGATTTCGCTGGACGTAGCAAGCAATTCGTTAAACGATGCGTTTAACACTCATATATATTTGCCGATGTCCACTGCTCCTTCCGGCTGCACCTCCTGACAAGGCTGATAGTGGCTGACACCTTCCGCGTTTGCTGTTTTCCGCCCTTTACATCTGCTTTGTAACTCCAACTGACTCCAACCTCCAACTAGTACGTGTAATGTGCACTTATATATTCATACATACTTAAAATTAAATAATCTACAGATTATTTAATTTCAAATACGTATGATATACAAGTGTATCAAGAGTATGTACATACATGAATAACAATAAAGTTTAATGAAAGCGAAATAGAAAATTTTAACGTGTAGTTCAGGGCAATAAAAAAAACCAAACCTCTCCTTTTTTTAGGAATTACACCTTTTGTTATACACCTTTCACTTTTCTCCCTTTCAGAGTGCAGTAACGTCGCAAGTGTTGTGGCCCAATCAGAATCGAGCTAGCTTGACGTTGATTGGACCGCAATGTTTGCGGCACTACGATCAGTGTCGCCAACTCTGAATTCTGAAATTATGCTAGATGATTTACAAAAAAAAACTCTAAAAAATAAGCTGAAAAATAAATCATATTATAAAATTCAAAAACTCTACAAGTAGGCTAAATTTTACAAAAAAGACTAAAAATAAGCTAAATTTTAGCAAAAAAATAAATAAATAAATAAATCAAAATAATAAATCGTTATATGAAGTTAAACATACGTATCAAATTAGTTTTCTTTATTTGGAACATCTTTATTTATAATATTATAAATGTTTAAAAAAATTATATATTAAAATTTTTATATTTCATATATATTACATATTATTTTTTATATTTTATTCGAAAAATTAATTTAATTTAATTTTATATTACATATTATTTTTGTATTTTATATTTTGTATTTTACATACAAAAAAAATTCACACGCAGAAAAATATATTCCCCTATACAAATCGCGAACACCCTGTAGAACGTGTTCCGAATAACGTATCCTTTTTTGGTAAACGGAAAGTCGCGCGATTCAAATTGGCGGAAACGGAAATTCAGTGATTCATAGCAATATTTGCAGACAATTTGCAAGCATCCTGTACACTGCGTGGCGTGTCGCGTATCCTCGTCCCTCGTGACGTTAAAATTTTAGTTGAAGGCGCATCTCAACTGGTCTCAACGTCGGAAGGATTCCGCACAACGTGCTCGCTCAAAAGATTCTACTTATTTGAGGAATCGACAATTCGCCCTAATCGGATGATTCATCGATCAGATTGGCAGAAACCGGCGGTTGATCCTCAGGGCTAATCTCACCAACTCCGTTTAATCGACCAATTGTTACATTGGAACTGACCAATCACATTTGCTCTTCATTAGAATTAACCAATTATAATTGACGATCAAATGATTAGATTAGTCGGAATTGTTTAGACCGACCCATAGATAGATGCGTGACTCGCGTGAGTATACAATGACAATGTGATCGTTACGTATGGATTTTCCTGAGTCACGGTTTTCTCCCGCGAGTCTCCCGTACGAATTCGATTCCACCTAAACACTCGCCGAGCCACCGCGCCGAGTTTGAGAATAGGAGAGGTAGGTATCTCCTGTGTTTATATACGCAGTTGCGCATGGTCATGGGTATTCGTTTAATAGCCTGATGCCGTTGTGTTTGCCTATCAATGCGCCGACGTCGAGAAGATGTCATCCTGTGATGGTCCTAGTTAGCAGTGATTTAAGTCTTGATTGATTAATTTTTTCAAGGAACGGCCGGGTTTAACAAATATCATGAGCACATTATGGAAACCCTGGGGAGAGATCCTGAAGATGGAACCGACAGATCCAGCGATCATGAAGAGTCTGAATAGCAGCATGAACGACTTTGACAAACTATCCGATTTTAGTCCCAACTTACTTATCACGAAGAAGAAGAATCTCCTGATGAACTCTTGCATGAAGTGCCATAATAACAACAACAAGAGTTTCCTGCTGCTCGATGGACGGGAGAATCTGCAGGTTCCTGATGTAGAAGAGTTTCTAAAAAAGTTAAACTGTACAGAAAACAACATTAAAGTCAAAGTTGTGTCGATATTTGGAAATACAGGTGATGGAAAAAGTCATACTATGAACCAAATATTTTTCAAGGGCGAGGAAGTATTTCAAACCTCCAATGAGCAAAATTGTTGTACATTAGGAGTTTGGGTAGCATTTGATCCAATTCTCAATGTCATCTGCTTGGATACGGAAGGTTTACAAGGTACAACATATTTTATGTTATTATTCTTAAATAAAATTAATTATCTGTGCCAGATTGAACAAGTTTATATTATTATGTTATTCTGTTTACATAGGTATTACTTGTTATGAGAATGAACGGACGAGATTGTTACTCAAGGTACTCGCGGTCTCCGATATTGTGGTTTATGGAATCCATTCCGAAAGATTAAACAGGGATTTGTTTACATTTTTGGGCGCTGCATCGCGTGCTTACAGTCACCATTTTAAAGCCACTTTACAAACGATAGGGCAGAAAGAAGGAATCTCTACCTCGTTGAGCACGCTTGGACCAAGTGTTATAGTGCTGCACGAAACTAAACACACCATACCTTTGATCAACAGTACATATTGCTACTCTCTCAGAATGACAGTAATTTCAAACTGAGAACTTTATTACGATTGATAATTGTTTCATCATTGTGACATGATATATCGATCGATTCTTTTACAGATGAATTAGAAAGTGCGGAAGATATTCTGAAAGCTAAATTCGCGCAGATGAGCCTCGAGATTGACGCTTTTAACTCTATCAAATATATCGGTTTGCAAATGGTAAATGACACGACGGATTACGAACAGTTGCGATCCGCGATTGAGAACGAATTGAACAACACGACAGTTCGCTCAGCCAGAAAACCGCACCTAGTGTATAATACACTTAAGAATCTGAACAATCAGCTATCTAACGAAATAGAAAATGTTTCTAATACTCTATTCCCAGACCAGTATTTTACTTGTCCTATTAAATGTCTAAGTTGTAATAATGGCTGTAACAACAGTATGGGACATCTTAGTGAAGGAAAACCACACAGTAGTAATAATAGGTTGGTACATAGGTTTTTTTATATGCTGCTTTAATCATACAACTCCTTGGATTAATGGTGTTTGTTATGATAGGTGCAAATTCCAGTGTCAGTATGAAAATTCGATATACATATGTAAAAGATGTTACAAGAACGGAAACGAAATTGAAGTAAGCAGGCAGTATTACGAGGACAATCAGAATAGCTGGTATAGTTTCGCTAAAAATGCTTGGTCAGGATACATCATAAACTGTCCACACTGCGGGGAAATATACAAAAGCAGACAGTATTGGTATGGTAATAATGCAGAGGATGTTGCCATACGCAAAAAGATTACTCACGTGTGGAATACGGTAAGAATCGAAAGTAAAAAGCTTTTTTGTTCTTAAGGATTACTTCATTTTGACAGAATCTAAAATAAACATAAATCCAAGATTTTTTTTAGTTAATTATACTGTATACCTCGAATTAATTCCTTTGTTAGGGATATGTTATATAATATCTAAAAATTTGCCAAGTATTAAAGATTTTAAATAAAAAATATTAAAAAAAGAATTTCCGTAAAGCTGTTCTACCACGGATAAACGGTGCCAAATTTCCAAAGATAGGGATGGTTTGAAACAGAGAAGTAAAGTGAAATATTTTATTGTAAATAGATACAATGGCTAAAATGTAACATAATTTTTTGTTGAGAATTGTGTAAAATAGCTGCAAAGTTAAAATTTATTCTAAACAAATGAATTAACATATTTAAAAAATCCTACGCCTACAACTATATTTTATCTATTTATAAGAAAATATTTCACTTATTTTAGATCATTCCTGCCTTTGGAAATCTGCCATCTATTTACGGCGAACAAATTTTGCAGGAATTGTTCCACAATCTCTCTTTGTTATATAAAATCTTCAATATGTAGCAAATTTGTAGTCAAATATTGTACAATATATTCTGCTAAAATAGAAATTAATTCTACATAGATTAATTAACTTAAAAAAATGAATGAATTGAAATGAATGAATTTGAATTTATGCTTATTTTAGATCCTGTTAAGATGATTATTTTTTCGTTTATGCATTTCTATTTCATTATGAAATGGCTTTTCAATATCCATATTCTCTTTCAGTCAAATCGTTCTATAGCTACCCAGAACACAGCACAACGAGTTATCGATAGCGTTTCATACATCACTGAAGCCGTGACAAACGTCTCTCTGCAACCGGCGAAAGTGCTGAAAGCCTGGGCCGCGGATCAAGTGGCACCGTCTTATTGGCGACCGAACAATGAGATAAAATACTGCTATCAGTGTAAAATTCCATTCAGTCCGACGGATGACAAACATCATTGTCGCGATTGTGGAGAGGGCTTTTGCGCGCAATGTTCGTTAAAAACAAAATGCGTACCCAACAGAAACTGGTACTCGCCCGTTCGAGTTTGTGACACGTGTTACGAGAAAGAGACAAATTGTTCCAGCGATGAATCCCTCGAACCTGTGGAAGATGTCGGCGTGCGAAAAGTGACAGAGCACGTGATGTCGACTCTTAATGCCGTTGGAACAGTATTTACTTATTCCAAATGTGAGTAAAAACATTACATCACGAACTCGTGTAACTCTCAGATAAATTCTGAACATGTTTGGTTTGTATAGCTTTTATAAAAGATTCCGTTCGGCCATCTTATTGGATACCGGATTCGGAAGTGGTTAGCTGTTGTGTCTGCGAACGGAAATTTTCTGCCATACTTTCTTTACATCACTGTAGAGCTTGCGGACGTGGCGTGTGTCAGGAATGTTCGCAACATCGTAAACCTGTACCTCACCGAGGATGGGATCATCCTGTTAGGGTATGCAATGCTTGCGTTTGAAATCGTTTGGACATATATCTTTTAAAGAAAACAGAGTCGAAGAATACAGAAATTTTTTTGGAGAAAGAAAATATTCATTTGAAACGAAATAAATTTACTTATTTCACATAATGCTTGTAAGATAAACAGAAGTTGTACTGAGATTTAATTGTGAATGTAGAAAATCTTAGATTTGTATAGCCAAATCGCGCAGTTGACCGTAGTTTTTTAAATGAATCTTTTAATGTAATTAGAATTTTAACTCTTAAATTCTAAATAAAATTTTCAACTCGGTGTTTTTTATTTCCAACAGTACATAATGTAACAATACAAATTATTTTATTATGCGACATGTAACAGTTTTATGATGAGATGTCTAAAAAATACAGTTTTATTATTACAGGTTTATTACTTATATATTTTTAATATTAAATTATATATATAAATAATTGTATGTTTTATTTATATTTGATATCAGAGATGAGAATGTTAAAGAGACGATAGGCGTATTCGTTAAAGCAGTTAGCCTGCTCACCGAGCGATTGAATATGATTAGTTCTTACAGATTCAATTAATCACATTCAGTTGGCAAGCAAACTAGCTGTTTTGTCTGGCATAAATCAGTTATTTGACAATTTAAATCTTAAAAAATCAAGAACATTAGCTGAATTTTTAGGTATATAGGATCCAAAAGTCTAGAGTTGTCTGAAAGCTGTTTAATTTAGTTTTTATAATTAGAGAATAACTCGTGAATATATAGGATGTTCCAGAACACTAAATATTTCGTGTGCTGATAGTGCGAACTAAACCGAGTCGAAAAGTCCTTTACTATTTTACAATTTTCGCGTTAATTAACAAGATATTAATTACTAAAAATCGCAACATTGGTTTTCAATAATTTTTTACTCAAGTACTATCAACTTTACAAAAAAAAACAGCAAGTAACAAAAATTGTTTATTTTCTTCTCATATAGAGATATTTTCAGAATTTTTTATCAACTTTTTAGTACTATATTTTAATACTACTTTTTTTATTACCAACTATTTTTACCAATAAAAGAAAATGTAGTACTAAAAAATTCTCTGAATTCTATGAGTTAGCATTTTTAGTGACTTTTCAACTCAATTTGGTCTGCTCTATCATCACACGAAATATTTGGCGATCATTCTAGGACACCCTGTATAAATGTACATAAATGTATGATTGTGCTATAATTATGGTCATTACTATTTGGAAGTAACTTCTTGAAGTGTGTTAAAAACATGGCTATCTTTAAAATATATAATTTTATATCTCTAAAGGATATAGATCAAGATTACGCTTAAAAATTGTTCGGTAGTAAGCTGATAAATTATGTTAACGATAGAATGTCTCGTATAATACATGTTAGCGGTTTGTTGTACATATGTATATACATATGTGTAGTTGCTTTTCAGGGGCATTATTCTGCAACTGTCGGTAGGCGTGTAAAACGTTTACAGAATAGTGCCCCTGATAATAACGATCGATAGTTGTAAGAACTAAAAAAGAAACCCGTTTACAAAAAATGTAAATCTCGTGGCTGTGACAATTGTTAATACCGGCATAGCATTTGAAGATGTGTTATTCATAAAACAGCAGACACGTGATAGCACATCTTCGAACGTGGAAATTGTTACTTTTATTTTGTTCTGTATTATGATAAACAGCTTGAAATAAAGTTTGAATTCTCGAAGTCGCTGCCTTATTTTATTTATATTTGAACTAACCGTTGTTACATGCGTACGTCACCAGGGTATTTAATACCTAGAAAATCTGGAAATTTTCTGACAAAGAAAGGGACCCAACTATTGTTCTTCGACTTTGATGAGTATTTTTAGTATGTTGTTCTTCAGACAAAAATAAGAGACGTATTTTTTTATACTGTATACATGCCCAATCGCACTTTTAAGAGATGAAACCCCTTTAAAAAAAATTTGTTTTTTTCTAAGTGAATTTCGTCGAAATTAGGGATGCACCGGATCGTAAAATTATCGAATATCGGATATCCGGACAGAATATAGTATCGGATATCCGAGAAGACAATTTCTTCGAGTCGGATATCCGACCGGGGGGTTCCGAGAAAGTGTTTTCTAAAAAAAAAGCTATTATAGGGTGGTATTCATAGTCAAATCTTATATTCAAGACCATCTTAAGTATAGTCTTAAGAAGTCAGGAATCAATCAGAAAGCCGGTATTCATCGGCTTAAGACGGATCTTATATTTAAAACCGTGTCTTAAGTACAGTCTTAAGATGTCATGAACCAGAGAGCCGCATTAACGACAATAACGACTTAAGACATTATTTAAGACGACCTTAAAATAAGAACCGACTATGAATGCCGGCCAGAGGGCTGTATTAGCGTCTTAAGACTTTACTTTAAGGCCCGTCTACAATGCACGGAGTAAGAAGAGTAAGAAATTGACCAATCACAGTCGAATGTGAGAAGAATAATCGACTGTGATTGGCCAACTTCTTACTCTTACTTCTTACTCCGTGTATTGTAGACGACGCCTTAAGGCCCGTCAATTTCTTACTCTTACTTCTTACTCCGTGTATTGTAGACGGGCCTTTAGACAGTGTTCTTGAAATAAGAACAGATTAAACAAAAGTCGTTCAAGTTGGTTACTGGCCAACTTCACCGATTATGACTTATGGGCTTTACGTGCTTTTTATCACTTTTTACGATTATTTGAATTATTTACTGATTACAATCAGAAGTTCTAAGCGATTTTAAGTCATAATCGGTGAAGTTGGCCAATAGCCAACTTGAACGACTTGGTTAAGACTGGTCAAGACTTCTGATGTTCTGACTTGCGGCTTATTGTAGAAGGCCGATAAGATCTGACTATGAATATCGGCCTATGATTAGTCTTGCCCTGAGTTCCTCACTGGATTTAAATGTGTAAACCAATCAAGACCATGCTCAAGGCAAGTTTTACAACATATATGTTGCAAAGCTGCTTTATCTGCCAAACGCAGCCAATGGGCGCGTTTAAATTGACAAAGCGGCTAGCCTGCTCGCCGAGCAAATGAACATAATTGGTTGTTACTTATAGATCTAACCAGTCATATTTAATCGCTCGATAAGTATGCTTAGCTGCTTTGCCGTCTTGAACTCGCCCAATCGCTCGGTGAGCAAGCTGCATTCCGAAACCCATCGAAAAAAAGTGTTGCAACCTTTCTGCGACCGGCTGTACCACTGGTATGTGTATACTTCTGCATGTGATGACGTTAGAATATGGCGTCTCGATCAGCTGGATGTTGTATAGAGTGTGTCTGCCTGCGATGCCTGCCGTCTCGCGAAAACTAACGAAGACTACCGTCTGCATCCCACCGTGATACGTGAGTTCATCTCAACCACAATCGACGATCGCACGGCTTGATTCTATCTTGGCGGCTGGTATACCGTGGGAAAAAGAATCGCAGCACGCAACGCGACTCACGAGTGCGGACACGGCGACACGAGAGAGAGAGAGCGAGAGAGAGAGAGAGAGAGTGAGAGAGAGAGAATGAGAGCGCACGCGACAGAACGAGAGTAACGAGACGCGGAGACGCAAAAGTGTACGCGGATGGTACATGCTGGACTCTCGATGGGACAGGCATACAACTCGACACGGCAACGGATGTCGTGAAACACGCGTTCGCCCCGTCCCTCGAGGTGCCTCGAGGAGTCTCGACGTGGCACACGGTCGGGTCGCCGAGGAAATCAGGAAATCAGGAAATGAGAAAGTAAAGTGAAGTAAACGAGGAGAGAAAATCGGGTTGCTTGGTTGCTAACCCGCATCCTTTTCCCTGCGTTGCTCTGCGTCTCCGCGCGCGGCGTTCGATTTATCTTATGTAATTCCCGCGAGTGCATCACGCCCCGCGAACGCCGAAGCCTATACGCGTGCGTGCGTGCATGCGTGCGAATACATACGCGTGTGCCGTGGCCATTTTCGCGTTTGCCCTCGCGTTTTGTAATCGTTATCAGCTCCATATTTGAATTCAACAAGTAATGCAGGTCGCCCGACCGCCGCGAATCCCAGACGAGGACTGACGAATCGATCTCACGTGCTCACGTCGACAGTCGACGTCTGAAACAGATCGTTTCACTGGTGATTACGTCGCCGAAGGCGATTCAATTCTCTCGTGAAAACGCCGAAGGTGCGAGACTTCCACGAAGGTCTTGCCAGATCTATCGTGTATCTTGCAATCGGGTGAAAATTACAAAAGTGAGCAAATTCGCAAGTGTCGACCATGTAAGAATATTTTATTCTTACTTGATGTTTCCATCCTCTACTCGAGGACCACGTTTTCCAGTGAAATACAGTCGAGTGGAAAACACCTATATTCTTACATGATAGTGTGTTGACCAGTATAAAGTTATAAATATTCTACATACTAAACTCGCTCACTTTGTAATTATCATTTCTTCTCATAATACACAATCGACCCTCAGAATTTCGTCGATTCATTATCGACGCCGATCGCACCACGAAGAGGACGCAGACACGGAGTCGACGAAGAGCACGTTGTCGGAGGTGTGCAACGCAGGTGGACGCCATAGTTGCAAATTCCATGGGAAAGATGGGTGGAGGGGGAGAGACATTCGGTACGTGGGCGCGAGTGACCGCGACGACGACGACGACGTAACGTGACGACTGACGCCACGCCGCCGAAGATGACAGTCGGTCGGATCGAGTGTCCCATTTGAAAATCTGGTGCGCGATTCCGCGTGATAACGCCGGCCATTTTGTCGCTTATTAGTCGCGCGGATAAACAATCCCATATGCGAGGCGAATTACGAATTTTTCGACGTCATCCGCCTGACGCTGGCTTCGAGGCTGTTGGCTGTCGCGAACGTGGCTCACATGCGCGGAGATTTTAATTTCACGATGCTCTCGTTCTTCGACTCTATCTCTCTCTCTCTTTGCCTCTATCCTCGCGTCTCTGCTGCGCGGCACACCAAAAATAGAAAAGCGATCGGGCCCATTTCTTACTGTTTTCGTCGTGATTTTTATGTCGTAACATGATATATTACGGCGGTGCTTGTGCGGAACTCCTAGGGATTAACAATAAGATTACCATATCTGAATCACAAGAAAAAAAAGAGAGAGAGAGAGAGAGTACAATGTACACTTTTTGAAAAAAGATGTTCGAGGACGGAAGCGGGGGAGGTATAATTTTTTTATGCGTTAAATGTAGGTATTTTGTATTAAATAAAATTTCTAAAACACATAATTTTCGTTGACAACTCTTATTAAGATAAATTTAATAAATATATAAAATCTTAATTAATGTGATCAGAAGTTTTACAATTCAAAAAAAAGCATTCTCAACCCTCTAACTGTGTTTAATGGGTTAAATATGATGTACCGCAAAACTTGATCTTTTTGTCGTACTGTGAGAATTGTTTAAAAACGCTCGGAGCGAAAAAGACCCGGTTAGAAAGTTAAAAGAATACGGCTGGAACGTATCTCGATTATAACCTTAATAACAGCGTTAGTATCATATACTATCCATAGCGCAAGTATTATTGTACACGGTAAAAAAATGTAACAATACCGAACTGTCGTTAAAAATTACAAAATCGAGGATGAAGTTTTTAAGCGATGTTCGACCAAGATTTTTTATGTCTAGACATTAATAAATTTTTCTTAAATCAAGTTTTGAGATTCTTCAAGTTTTGAGATTCTTTAATTAGTATAAGAAGAAAGGAAGAAAGAAAACGTTTATTGCAAATTAATATATTTTCGCGAAACTCCCCTTGGCGAAGTACTTTTTACACATACCAGAAATATCCGAAGAGATTTTTAATGTCATCTGGAGACAATTGATTTTGTTTCAAATTTCCTTAATATTGGTGTACGCCTCTGTGATTATGTGTGTCATGTGTGTGTATGTGAGAGTGCGTGCATGTGTGTTTGACTTGTTTTGTTTTTCATATTAACTATATTCTTTTTTTATGTATATGTATAATATATCGTATTGTATACTTGTGTACATACATATATACAGGATGTTTGGAAAATAATGATAAATTTTTCGCATGGGGGTAGAATGGACTAAACTGAGAAGAAAAGTCTTTTACCATTTTGCAATTTTTGCAATAGCTAACAAGATATTAATTGCTAAAAATTGGCGAAAATTGGTTTTCAATAATTTTTTTACTCAAGTACTATCAACTTTACAGAAAAACTGCAAGAGACGAAAATTATTAATTTTCTTCTCTTAGAACTCTAAAAATTTTTTATCAACTTTTTAGTCTTGTATTTTCTCATTTTTACCAACAAGAGAAAATACGGTATTAAAAAATTCTAAAAAAATTTTTTAGAGCTCTATGGGAAGAAAATAAACAATTTTTGTCTCTTGTAGTTTTTCTATAAAGTTGATAGTATTTGAGTAAAAAATTATTGAAGACCAATTTTCGGTAATTTTTAACAATTAATATCTTGTTAACTATTGCGAAAATTGTAAAATGGTAAAGGATTTTTTTTCTCAGTTTAGTCCATTCTGTCCCTATGCGAAAGATTTATCATTATTTTCCAAACACCCTGTATGTATGTGTGTGCGTTCGTTGCGTGTGCGCGCGCGCGTGCGTGTGTGAATATATATATATATATATATATACACATACACATACATATATGAGGAAGGAAACATCTCGTCTTATATGTATTATCTTTCCACAAGAAACCCTTTTTTTGGACTATCAGTTTTTAAATACTCTAGATTTTAAGTATTTTATATTTTACTGTACATGGTATAGTATATATATTCAAATACAAGTTACACTTATTTTTGTATACAAAACATTAGAAGTAATAGTACAGTTTTTGGAGTTTTCGCAATGTTTTTATATACGAAATTTATATGCGAGGTTTACAGAAAGTAAATTTTTTCCAAATAAAATGAAGAAAAGATAAACTGATAACAGCCAATGTGGATATATATAATGATAATGTGTTTATTACTCGCAGTAAATTACACATATAAAATACATACATTTCGACCGCAATTATAAAATTTCCTTGTAAAATTCTTTACATAAGAAATAAAGAATGATTTTTTTATTTGCAGTGACTAGAAGACTCTATGCAACATGCCACCAGATAGACCAGATGCATCGGGTATCGAAACTGACATAGAACTGATCTCGTCTCAGGATTATAATTTTGGTGAGAACGTCACGATGAACGATAAGGAAAAAGAGAATGCCAGCGTGCTGACCGACTCAAATTCAACCAACGATTGTCAAAGTGAAATTCCTAAATGGGAGAAGGCTATGGAAAAGAACAGTCAGTCGGACGACGAGCTAACGTCTCTCAGTTGGCTACACCAGCAGAATTTACTTAAAGGTTTAGACATTTCGAACCCTTCCAAAAACATAAAGCACGAGAACATGCTGAACAATAATATCTGTGACGATATGGCAGACTTTTCTGAAAATACAAATTCTGTATCGAGCTTAGATGATAGTTTCTGTCCAGGTAAGATGAGTGTTTTTAAAATATGTAATGTGTGTGTGTGTGCGTGCGTGCGTGCGTGCGTACGTGCGTGTGTGTGTGTGTGTGTGTGTGCATTGTATTTGTAGTCAAGTATTCTTACAATGTATATTAATTTTACCTTTTCTTTTTTTGTGATGTACCGATAGAGAATAATGGAAAAGCAAACGCAACCTTGAATGGGAATGGACAAAACTATCAGCATCCTGCCAAGAATTGTCAAAAGCCCACGCAAATATTTCAAGAATCTGCGAAAAGTCATTACAATATTTCGCCAAGTAATCAAACGAAGATTTCTTTGAGCAACAACAATTTGCCAATGTCTTATCGCAACAAGCATCCTACCCATATACCATATGATCCTCATTTACACAGAAATAGCAAACCACCGTATTCATTCTCTTGCCTCATATTTATGGCTATCGAAGATAATCCTGCAAAGGCACTACCTGTGAAGGAGGTTTACGCGTGGATCCTGGAACACTTCCCATACTTTAGGAACGCCCCTACTGGATGGAAAAATTCTGTTAGACACAATTTAAGTCTCAACAAGTGCTTTCGGAAGGTGGAAAAAGCTCCGGTAAATATACCAAGTAAATTTTTAATCGACGAAACGCACTGTAAGATTTTTACGGTAACTGTAAGAATGTTTTGGCTGTACAATATAAAAATATTAGTAAAAGCATCAGTCACTCTTAACGTCGTATTACATCGTACGTTTATTACAACTTTTTATTTTTTTTTCTTTTTAGAATTTAGGGAAGGGATCGTTGTGGATGGTTGATGCACAATACCGCCCAAATCTGATTCAAGCGTTGTCTCGCGCTCCTTTTCCTCCCCCTACAACTCAGAATTTGTCTTCATCGGAAAAGGTGCCTAGAAAATGCATAAATACACGTCTCCCAGATCCGGTTCTTTTTCCGTACCTATCCAAAAGACTGGCGTCTAGCAATATTAATGATAGTGCAGAAACCGAGATAGATAGCGACGTTGACGCAGCAGCTGCCGCTATGCTTTCCTTCAAGCATGGACCTATCATTCTGAATCACAATAAAGGTACTGAATATGCATGTCTGTAACATGTATGAAATAATAAAAAACAAAGCCTCTACCTATATTTTGTTGAGATGGAGAGAACAGCAAAGACGCAGTTAAAACGCTCAAGATACTAGACAATTTATACTCGTTCATTAATATATTTTTTAATCTAGATCGTAAACGAAAATTACCGGAATCGGAAAAGTTGGTACCTGTAATTACCAGAAGTTCCAGCGAGGACCATACTTATAGTTGTATCGCCTCGATAAAATTAGGAAGGTAAAGATATTAATCTTGTATGATAAACGTAAAGATTACATGAACAAAATAATAAATTTACCATTTTCCATTTTTTCCTACAGCAAACATTCAAACAAGGAAGAATTAAATCCAGATTTTGATGAACAAAGAAAAATTGCAGAAGGTGCGGATGCGCTTCTGAATCTGGCTGGTGTTAGTACAGCTCTAAATTACAGTAGAACACATGTAACACAAGGTATTAACACGGCATCTAAATCGGACGTTATTTTAAAACCAAAAAAACGTTCTACCAGTGAGTACTCTAGTACGTCTGAAAAGAGACGTAAAAGATGGCGAGACTGGGGAGAGGAAAATCGATACCTAAAACAAATTAGAGGTTAACATAGACACATTTTGTTACATTTTTCGAAAAGTGTACATTATTGAAAACTTTCCACTTATGCGCGAGTCAGGAAAGCGTTTAAGAATTTTACCATCTAGTAACAGGAAGGTACTTTCATTTTATAGAATATTGTCAGTAAATTCCTTATTCGTTTCTATAAACGTGTTTAGAGTCAACTTTTACGGAAATTTCATTGTTCGGATTTCTCGTCGTAAACACACAAAAAAAACGCGCATGTAAATTCTTCCATAACTTCTAGTTGTGCTAGTAAAAAGAAAAAGAAGGTTGTTGGATGCATTTCGAATTCATTGGTGTGGTTGCTCAGGGTTTACAACATGCTATATGCCAAAATACATTCGGTAGCACTAAACAACAAGCAATAATAGGGATGTAGTGTTAAAGAGATACTTTTTAAACACGCTGTTGAAACATGAATACAATTGAATAGTACGTGGATATATATCAATTAAAAAAATTATTATTACGTACTGAAGTAAGTAATAATAATCATTTTAGAACTGTTGTAAGAGAAACGATTATATTAAGTCATAGAGAGTTTAATTAATGATAAAGTTCTATATCAGTTTTCCTTTTTTTTGTAGATATGTATAGAGGCATAATCAACATCTGCTGTCACAATGCCTGTCCCAATAATAACGAGACCTCTTATTTGCAAACGTAACGTGGCGATTTTCGACAGCCCCGGTTTGATGCCCAGTGTTACCATTTTTTATTTCAACGGGAGTTTCTAGTCTCGTTATTTTTGAGACAGGCTACACATTCAAAATAGAGAGAAAAATCGATAATATATTTAAAATTATTACACGCATACATATTTATATGTATATGTGTGTATATATGTATATAAAATGTATGTATATGTGCATGTATATGCAGATGTACACATTGCACACATCAAGCTCGACATACTCATTCATGCATATACAATTAAACTTCCTGATTCTCAACCCGTGATGAAATAACTTTTTTGTTCTCCTTTTCTTATTTGAAAGCACGTACACAAAATGAAAATGTCATTACGTACGCATTGTGCTTATACGTGTTGATACTTTATTCGTCACTTATTCCACGTATGTGATAAAATGACGAAAAAGAGGTATTCATTTGGTTAAGAACAGGGGAGTTTGATTGTACATATGTACAAGGTGTTCCCAAGTTTGCGACTAAAACCGGCGAGAAAGTTCATGAAAAACTGAATTTTACAACAGTTGCAAAGCTACTTTTTCTGCTGAACGCGGCCAATTAACAGTAATTTTATATGCTATAGACAATTTAAAAAGAAAAGCATTACGAATATAGAACTATTTGATCAATTATATCGTAGATTTTATTAGATTTTAAATTCTCATAATTAAAAAATTTTTTGATCGCAAAAAGTGTCTTTGCGATTTAGTTTTTCGTAAACCTTCGAATTGCGCTTTCGCACGCGAAATTGAGGGCACCCTGGATGTAGACACATCATGTGCATCGTTGCACATGTGTACAACATATGTGCCACAAACGTATTATCAAAAAGTTTTAAAAAAAGATTGAAATACATTCAACCATGGTGGAATTCTAATTTCACCATGCATTCAACATGATTTTGAAACAAAGAAATGTTGTCATTTCACTGTCTTTTTCTACTCTCTTTGTGGCTTTCAAGATGATTTTGAACAGTGTTGTACATATGTAGAGACCTTTCTAATGTATCCACAGACCAGTTTTGGTATCCAGTTGGAGACTGAATATTTAGCGTGCTGAGATGTTTAATATCGATTGGATAGAGATGAAAAATAGCGCTACATGGAGAGATAACTTATTTTTATATAAAAAAAAAAGAAAAAACTATAACACTAAGAAGAGGGAAAGAAAGAGAGATTTGATAATATCTTGTAATTGTAAGATATGTAGTGTGCTACGAAGACATGCGACAGAATATTAGGCAAACTGGTCTTGTATACATTAATATGTAGTTCAATATAGAGAGAACATATATTTTTACAGGGCGCTGCCCGCGTGATAAAGGTTCTTCCTAATAATTCGCTGGTACGCAGTTTATTAGCTTAAATATCACTCTACAAAGTATAAATATTAGCGATTCAAATGAGAGGAAAAAACATAACTGTTGTAGCGCAACCTGATCAATTTTTACATATCAATGATACGTGAAATATACTATGACAATTTCGTAAATATATATTTTATTTGTTACTTCAGAATTTATTCAGGATTACTTGCGATGATTCTTTGATCTCAAAGAGCTCATCGTTAGTATTACAGAGTGCTAGTTTCATAGCATAATTACGTAAATATGTAGAAAAAATTCAATTAGTGTCTTTTAAATTAATAATATAATTGTAATTTTATTTCATTTTCATTAAAACAGTAGATCAGGTGTGACAACTGAAAAAATTGAAAATCTTAATTATCCAAAATAGAAGACATCTTCGAAAGAAAATTGGAAAATACGATTTGTGTAATAAACAGGATGCGCTACAAATATATATTTAATTGTGATTGTAGCTAGTCAGCTACACCAGAAGAAAATTCAATCTGAAGGTGCAAGAAAGAATGCCATACTCAATATGAGAAATATTAAATCTACTTTGATAAAATAAAAAAGAATAACAATATTATTTAAATAAAATAGAAAAAATTATTATTTTCAAAATTGACGTCTTCTAATCTAAAATTATAAAAATATTTTTTGTTCTGCATTATATAATTTATATGAAATTTAGCCGCATACAATCTACCTTTTTTGTTTTTAAATTTTATTTTACTGTTATTATTTCTGTGATATATTGCAAAAATGATACGATGTTGTTATACTTCAGTGTATCCGAAGTTTTAGAATTCTATATATTATGTTCAGCGAGAGTGTTATATGTATACATATATATGTATATTTATATATCTATACTATATATGTATAAATGATTATTATTATTATTTATTAACTGGCATTCTTACTCACACCTTGAATACTCTACCTTGATATCGACCTTAAAATGAGCTGGCATCTTCAAATTGATAATCCTACGGAAATTCAATGTTATAGCTTCACAACAATCTGTCAACATCCTCTTAGTCTAGCTCTCGTTTGCTACGACTGAACATCTGTTCTTCCACATATAGTTAAATTCTAAACTAATCGGCTATAGAGAGTGAGATGCCATTCATCAAACATAATACAGTGTAGCTAATCGATAGGTTAAAAAAGCGTAGATTAAATCGATTAGTCACAGTAATATAAAGCAATACACCAGTAAATCCTGACATTGGGCGAAATACTCTAGTCAGCCGGTTTCTTAAAGGGAATCATGGGCTCATGTGCAATGCGTTAATCGCTGAGTCGGCACGACGAAGAGATAGACTGCTACTTCATAATTGCATTATGTAGAAGGAATAAGTATTAATATCGCCAATTTATTTTTTTTAACGCGTAGTGCCGATCACTACACAATACGAATTCACAAAATTTATGATTATTCGTATATGTTATACGCGGGCTATTATTACAACCGGCTGACAAGCGAAGTCATCCTATGACAGACACCAAAAACACAACAAAGTATGGAGCAAAGCAGATTACGATGTGTCATTGTAACTAACCAGGGACAATCAAAAGACATGATGTATTTGATTTGCTTCCATTACATGATATCGTGCCAAATGCAAAATCCTTATAAGAATTTTGTTGGCGTAATATGTAATATTACAATTATATATATCATTATTATTATTATTATTATTATTATTACTCATTTTAGATGAATCATGCTGTAAAATGTTTGTTAAGTTTTTGATCTTGCTTATATATATCTTGAGTATATTTAATATTTTAGGCTGTAACTACAAGAAAATTTTATCTAATGAAACAAATGAAGAAAACAACAAAACTTGTTAATTATTTTATTCAACATTTCTTACTCCACATAGTAATTTGGCATATTTTAATATACATGTGTCTATATGATACAATTAATTATTAGGAATATGTTAATGTTATACAGCAATATGTTAATGTTGATCATACAATTTAAAAAATGATTTTATAAGTATATATATTTTTAAAAAATAATACGTTTTTTAGGAAAAACTTTGGAATGTTACGTTTAAATATTTTGATAGAATAAAACAAACATTAAGAATATAACATAATATCGATAAAAAGATATTTATATAATAAATATATTGAGACTTGTACATTAAAATTTAGAATAATACCTATGATATTAATTATTTAGATCAAATTCAATTAGATTAAATTATTTGAAAACATCAAGTCAATATGTAAAGATAACATTAGCTATGTCACATTGAGATGTGATCGTCAAAGAGAATCATTTAATTTAATTGACTGTATAAAGAAACAAAACATTCATTACAAAAACGCATGCACATTTCACTATTTCTGTGATAGTCACAAGTTAAATATTGTGATCTGAGCATTTTTTTGAGCATTTTTTCTATGAATTGATTTTTATAACTACTTTTAAGTTCCACTTTCTCTTTCTTTATTATATTTGGAAGGTGTAGAACTAAATACATTCGTCATATTTTCTTTCCAAGATAACTGAGCAATATCCCTGGACGTCATTATTCTTTCATTCCAAAGAGTTTTTTGGTTCATCGAAGTACTACTATCTATTGTGTGCATCATGCTATTCATGCTATAAGTTTGGTAACCAGTGTCTTGAATAGAGTTTGAGATACTTTGCTGCTCGAAAGCGCCAGACATTATATTACTCTGTTTATGACCTTTGCGCGAGAAACTTGTAACTTCCGGTGCAATTTTTAAACTAGTCTCATTATATTCTTTATCATTAAGTACGATACCGTTAGAGTGCACAGTATTATCAGGTGAATTTATACTCTTTGTTTCCTCCATGTTAACAGAATCACTTGCATTTGTTCTATCGTTATTTATAATTATCCATTTACCATTGTCTTCGATACATTTAACGTCATTTTCGCTATCAGACATATCTAAAACACATTTTCAACATAGTACTATTACGAGCATATTTGTTTTGTCTGTAACAGACATTAATACTAAATTTAACAGGAAAGATGATATAATAAATATCTAAAATTGATTCTACTGATAAAGTCGTATAATTATATGTTTAGACCTAATTTTTCTACAGGGTGTCCCAAAATTCGCACATTCGGAGTACAGGGTACAATACTTTAAGCTAAAACAAACAACTTTTTCCTTTTGCACTAAACGCAAAAATGATTTATCGAATGTAATTTTACTATAGGAAAAAGTTTTTTGTTTTAGCACAAAAAACTTTTTCTTTTAATAAAATTGCGCCCGATAAGCAGTTTTTGCAGGAGAGCAGGAGATTGAAGTTAACAAATAAGCGCAAAAATTATTTATCGGACGCAATTTTGCTGAAGAAAAAAATTGTTTGTTTTAGCATAAAGTATTATGTCCTGTACTCTGAATGCGCGAATTTTGGAGCACTCTGTATTCACTTATTTAACTAAATTTTTTAGAATTCTAACTATGAATTATAACATATGTTGCAGACCAGTGCATGCATTGAAATTTTCCTTATAACAATAAGAAAACTATTCCTCCCATTTTATTAAAACAATAAAGGCAACTTCTTTTTTCTAAAGAAGTTTCAAGTGAAGAAAAATAAAGACCAACAGAATGTATTAAAAATTAAGCTAAAACAGAAAGCAAATTTACCTAACAAATGATGACCATTAATCGAACTTGAACTTTTTCCCTCGGCTGCATCATTTGTTTCCATATCTGTCGCGAAATTTAGTCGAGTGGCCAAACTAGAGCAATGTTCAATTCTTTTATACAACTTATTGTTTTCAGCATTATGTATTGGTGAGATATTAGGCGATACATTTTCAGATATTATTACGGAGGAACTATTACTTTGCCGCCTAGTTTGTAGCAGCATCTAAAATATATTATTTCATTAATTTCAGCGATACGTATATGCTATAATTGATCTTCTTATTTACTGACAATGAGATGTAAAAGAGGATGTTAAAAAGGTAATAATTTTATTCCCAAAGTGGCAAGTGAATATAGTATGTTTTTTGTAGTTTTTCAGCTATAGAAATTGATTCTGGCTTTTAAAAAATTTTAATTTGTTAAAAAGTATTAAAATCAGCATATGAAGTTAGTACCATAAATTATTATTGAGTTTCACGAATATATTAATTCATGTTTTCCTGCTAGTAAAAATGTTCTCATCTCTATAATCGTTCATATTCTGCTAGATAAAAAAGTAAAAACAAATTATTTAAAAACAAAGTACATATCAATGAGATTTTAAATCATGGATATTACTCTCACATTGCAATAATAATTTGGTATTTTGGCTATGCCCGATTTTGTCTAAAATACATTTTTCTTAAATGTTTATCTAATATCTATCAGAAATCTTCTATTTTACTTCAATTTTATATTTTTCTTAACACACTCATAACAATAACTTCTTATATATTTAATAACTTCGTATATTAATTTTAATACTTTCCCAACAAATTAAAATTGTTTGAAGATCAAAATCACATTCCACAGTTTAAATAAAAAAAATTCCCTTTTACTTACCATTGTGGCACTCTCACAAAATTAGTACTTTTTTAACATCCTTCTTGCTATTTTTATATACAAGAATTATCTAAACATATTTTATATAATTCATCACATACCTTTAATGGAGTACCGTGAACAAACATACCACTTTGAGGAGGGCTGTATACTAACACCATGGATTCACTTGTTTTTACCGGTGATAATGACGTGAAACTGTCGTTATCATTGTCAGTACTCTCGTCGTGACAGGCAAATAATTTTCTTCTCAGTGAATTGTTACTCAAATTTGCATCGTCATAGTCTACATTCTGTTCCTTTGAAAGACATAAGAATATTTTTATCAGATTTTTCTTATCAGAAGGATAATTAATATCAAGCTGCTTCTATCTCGATAGCCACTTTACACCAACCTGAGTAAAAGTGAAGAAAGGCTTCAAACTTTCTTCCACATCTTGAGACAGTTCCGGAGGTAGAGACAATATTGTTTGACTCCATGCTAAAAACAACGACGAGATAAAAATGATTTCGAAATATCAAGCTCGAATTTGTCTTACCATCTTTCGTAGATTTTGAAACTTCCTGGATAGAGTTGAAATGTTTCGAGGACCTATTAGGAGTGTCAAAGGAAAATGGTTTGTTGCCTTTCTGCTTGATGTTCCAAGGGCTAGGAATTATCTGATTCTGTTTAAAAAACCGATCTATAGCTGCCTGGGCTCTTATCTCCAATTCTGGCTCGGGAGAATACATTTGTTGCAAGGGAGATTCTTCGATTTTTACTGGTTTTATGCGAGCCAATTCGTCTATGCTCCACGTAAACTCTGGTGACTGTTGCATAGGGCTGGAGACCTAAATATTGCAGCAATTTTAGCAATTAGCACTTGCCTCTCGGTAGAAGTACTCTTGTCGATCGAAGTATTCTTTAAGGAGCTTCAAGTAAAATGACCTTAGCGAATAGGTTCGGGCTGATTGCGGACAGGTGCAGTCGATTAATCAGGTCAGGCTCGAACGGGTTCTTAGTAATGAACTTCCTCAACTTGGACGGAGGTGTAATATGATTCGGCAGAACAGCGAATGGTAGCCGTTGCGCGTTATTCTGATGACACGTTAGACGCTTCAAGTGAGCGTTGTTTCGCTTCATCGGAGTTCCATACCTCCAGGAACTACACGCTAAAGGGCTCTTGCCTTTGCGCTCCTCGCTCAACATGCCCCGTTCCGTTTGTTCCATTACAAAACAAACAATTCACACGAGAGACAGGGAACCACTCTGCGTTCTCGCCAATTCGAAATTGGAATATTCTCCTGGACTCTTCACAAAATTCTTTATTTAATGACTTCAGATGCAAAACTTCGGCCTGCCGATTTCGATCTGTGCAATTATTTTACGAAAGTACACTTGCAGATTACAAATCAGAGCCCTTCGATATCTGATATTTGTGGATTGGAATTGGAGTTCTCCAACTTTTGAACAATCAGATTCATTTCAAATTATTTATACCATCGACGAGATACTGTTAAAGACCATCAACCCTTTGGCACATTTGGAGTGCGTTCCAAAACTCGACTATCAATTCCGCGTATCTTTTATTCTTATAGCGTTTTCGGCCCGATCGAGTTTGCACCAACCTTGGTTGAATTAATCTTTCCTATTGGTTGACGTCACATGCTCTACCAATAGGAGAGCACAAAACGCCATTGATCCAACCCAGGTTGGTGCAAACCCGGCCGGGCCGAAAACGCTATTAGGCTGGATACGGGGTGATTCCGATTGACCACGGCTCGATTGGACACCACCAATCACAGCGACCGGTGCTTAGGAGCTTTGTAGTCTCAAGCGCGGGTGGCACCCAGCACTTGAGACTACAAAGCTCCTAAGCATCGGTCGCTGTGATTGGTGGTGTCCAATCGAGCCGTGATCAATCGGGATCACTCCTCAAACGCTGTGAGTGGCTCGTATTCAATTGAGCCGTGTCCAACTGGGTGCCACCCAAGAATAAGGATAAGATGATTCTTGGATTAATAGAGTCGAGTTTTGGAACGCATTCTGTCATAGGGATGGCACTAATAGCCACTGATGGCACGAGCTATCGACAAAGCGACAAAGCAGTTTGTAAGCAATTTTATACAGCATTTGATACATTACGTTTGTGTATATACGAGTTGTTCAAAGTTTCTCCTTTGCAATTTGAATAATTTTAGATTTTTTTGCGAACGCGCTATATGCGAGAAAGAATCTAATAAACAATTCTAATCAAAGTGAATTCATGACTCATGTGATGCATCGTTATTAATTTTCATATTTCGCGTTCGAGATGTATCGTAGTAGTACCAGGTAATATCTCAAAAATTGTAGCCGATTAAAAAATTGAAGTGCAAGCGATAACACTAAAATATGGCAGTGGAAATGTGGAAGTATATTTTGGTAGTTGTTATCATAAATTCAGGTAATGATAAACTACATGTTCTATTCAATCTTAATATGATTTAATTTTAGTAATGTTGTAATTATTATAATAATTATATATTAATTTCCAGTAACATCCGAAAGAATAAAGGACATGATATATATGCCCTTTGATGGCGTAGCTGCATGTTTCCGAAGACACAATGGTACACATCAGTTCGGATGTTCCTGTAAGAATCAAAACCTTTTATCAGTTGCTTCTTTGTTAAATTATCAATCTCGTCTGACTCTCCAGGACTGATTATTTTAAGTTATTATACTGACATTGTGATATTTCAGCTAGTAGATCGGGAAGTGTAGGCGTAGTACATTTGGTAGAGATAGAAAGTGATATTGCTTGGTTAGAAAAGAACGCTACTGCCGGCCCATATACCGTGGTCCTTTCATTTGAGATGTTCAACAGAACCACGCTCCTAAGATTAAAAGATACAAACAACATAAACGGGGTACTGCTAACAAAAAATATCAGCCATGAACGTCCGTTACATTATTCACCTGAGGATGAATGTCCCAATCGATACTCTGGTTATAAGAAATGCAATAATACAGAGCCATGGAATCCTTTCGGAACTGCAATACTCATGGAAGATTGGCCATTTCCCATGTTTTACACAGAGGTTAGATCTGTATTTAATGAATTTGATTAAAGGCTATGTTATTACATATAAAAAATTTAAGCAATAAGACATAAACAATAAGCAAATCAATATTTTGGATTTGTTACAGCTTATGTTATTGCCTTATGATGATTGACCAATTTGCTTGCTGCTTATGTCTTGCTACTTAAGTTTTTCTATGTGCCTTAGTCTTTACTCATATTGCATTAGTATACTGGATTAGTGCATATTAAAGATTGCTTTAGATAAAGTATCTAAATGCAGTGGTACAACAATTATTTTTACAATAAAATATATGTATATTTTGTTAAGTAACATGATAATGTCTTTTAATCATTTAAAATATTTATATACTTCTACATTTAATTTTGTTAATTTCATATATAACAACTTTTGATATGCACTAATCTAAGATTCGTCCTTTTTAGCTAAACTTTTCACATATTTCATATTCTCTTTATTCCTCTTCAATATGAAAAGAAAAAAAGAAAAAACTATAGAAAAATTCAATTGAAAAGAACAAACGTCTGAGGTCTGTTCTTTGTCGCTGCACTCTGAATTGTTTTAAAATTTTCCGTCTTGCTTTTATGAATTTCTAAATATATGTTTCAAATACACGTGTACACTAGTTCAGCCGCAAAAAAAAACAGACCTCTAGTATGATGCAACTTATGTAAGTGACAAATTTGCTATAAGGGCATATTAATATAAATTCTACACGGCAGTGTCGCTGCGCTTTGGCTTAGCGCCGAGACACTACCAGTATCTCCAGATATGGAAGACACGTTTCAAACAAATACTAAAATTGTCACGTTTTCAGAATCAGACAGCCTTGGAGGCTATAAAATCTTGTTTCTGGACGCACAATGCGCACGATCTTGAAACGCAATATCAGAGATCTCTTTGCGCGATAGAAATGAAGTCGTTCATGTATGCTGCCATTAACTCGGAATCTTGTATAAGGCGTACAGATTTAGTATTGAATTTCAACCCAACGCAGTTTTGCGATCCGCTTGGAGATAGAAACATACACTGGCCCTTGGCGCCTCTCGATGAGAGTAACAATACAGTGATAATGGTAACGGCACGATTGGATGCGTCGTCTTTATTCGATGGCGTGTCGCCCGGTGCGGGTAATGTCGTTACAGGACTGGTTACTTTACTTGCTACTGCGTACTATCTGAATTCCTTAAATGCCACCGTCGACAGTACGTATTTATCTCTCAGAATTAACACTAGTTGTCCATATATACATGATATATAGGACTATATATTTAAATTGAGATACTTGAATATCTTGAAAAGAAAACATTTTAGAAAAAAATGTTCCAAATAGTTGTATTGTTTGAAGGATAAATAATAATAAAATCAAACTTGAAGGAATCGACTTTTTAAAATCACATAAAGGTCACAGTGATTTTTTAAAAATAGAATTATATGATTTTTTAAAAGATGTATTCTTTTAGTGTTATTTCTTCATATAAGAATATTAGAGTTATTAAAAAGTTTAAGTTTACAAAATATTTTATAATTCATGTCAAAATCAACGTCAATTTCATGAATAAAGGATATAAATATTTCATGAATTATTCATTTTTTATATGTAGAATATAATGCTTTTATATGTAGAATAATTTTAGAAAAATCAGATTATTAGAAAAAAATCAGATAATTCCTTTGATCATCAAAAATCGCTTTATCATTATTTGTCCCTTTCAGACGATACAACTTTGTCTGGAATATTTTTTAATGCTTTCTTTTCTTTCAAGATATTCAAATTATCTCAATTTAATGCCTCATTCCGTACATCTACATTTATTCGGCGAGCAATTTAAGCGGCATATGATGTTTTCTTGTTGGATTGCTTGTGTTCTAATAAATTACTGCAATTGCATCACATAGAACGTATAATTTCTAGTAATTTATTAAAATGTAAACAATCCAGTAAGAAAACATCGTGTGCCGCTAACTGTACGGAACTGAAGAATCTTAAGCCCTTAGATCTAATTTAGATTGAAGACATTCTCCTGTTTGGTTATTTATATGTCTGTCTAACATCACTTATTGTTATACATTTATTCTTATCGTATCTAGAGACGAACGTTGTATTTTCTCTGCTGAATGGAGAAGCATTCGATTATATAGGATCCAGTCGTATGATATATGACTTAAAACACAACAATTTCAACGCCCTCGGTGGAATCAATTTGAAATTCGACGATATCCTGAGTGTGGTCGAGTTTGGTCAGTTGGGCCCGGGAAAAATATTTCTTCACAGTAATGGCGAAGACGATATGATAATCCGTCTGAATAAAACGTTGAAGGCGAAGATTAAATATGGTAGTGTCCCACCTACGTCCGTGCAAAGTTTTCTGGAGGCGAAACCTAATCTAACAACCATCGTTATAAGCAATCACGAGGAACAGTTTAAGAATCGATACTATAATGGCATCTTGGATGATGCGGAGAGTCTCGGTTTTGATAAGTACATACACAACTTTTTTGTATTCAATCTTGATATATATTTCATATTTTAGTATTACTTGATTTTACATTATTGAGATTTTCTCTCGTGTATCATGTTTTAGAAACGATACTAGCACGCTTGCATCAGATTTAGCGAAAATTGCTCTTCAGGTTGCTAATGAGCTTTATTGGGAGGTGACGGGTGAGGCGCCGCAGCCTGTCGATCTGCCGGTACGGAGATCTATGGAGAATCTTATCTCGGAAATGCTATATTGTTATTTGGAAAGTGCAAAGTGTAATCTGTTCCGTGCGGCTTCATCGCCTAACGCTAAATTGGTCGATCAGGTCTTGCCATTGTACGTCGGGGTGCACCGAGCGCTCAACATCGCGACGACTTTGACGGGCCAGCTTTTAGCATATCTGACCGGCGAAAAGCTCTACGAGATGAACGAATCAATGTGCTATGAAAATCGACTTGCCTGGATGAGTGGTCAAAACTTCTCGGGCTTATGTATCAATTCAACTGTCAATTACAGTATAGCCGTGAGTCCGGCGTTTATTATCGAGGGTAAGTTGCTACACAATAGATATAAGCTCGACGTATCCAATTGTTTTTCCCGTTATAGGATACGATATGAAATCGAGTGTCTACTCAACTTGGACAGAGTCCATATGGCAAACGTTAAGCGTTAGAATGTTTCTTAAACCAGCAGCAGCGACGGAACGTTTCAATCTGATTCTGGGTAGCTTGGTCACCGGTTTCTCATTCGTATTAGTATGGTTTATTAATAATAGAGCTAACGTACTATTTAATTCGAGGTATGTATCATCTTTTACGTAAAATTGAAGTAATATATTTTAAAATAAATTGTACACACACACTATAAATCAATATTTTCAGAAGAACCGTTGATTGCTAGGGATACGCTGCGGACCACATATCAATGACCAGGTTAGATAATCATCAAGAAGATCGAGATGTTCCAATAACTAGCCTTTAACCTTGTATGTGTGGTACGCCCTCGGAAGATTTTTATAGCTCGAAAACTATCTGGATATGTCACATTATCATTTTCTTATAATTTTTATCTTTTATTTATCATCGCTTCATCCGCAGTGTTCAATTGAAAAAAATCACGGATGCATCTTTGATACTCAATGTAAACAGTAAAGTGAATCTTTCTTCTATCTTTTTTTTTTATAATATCTATATTATAAATTATTTATGAAGTTACATATATGAGAAAAGACATTAGACGATTGAACGGGTAACTTGATAAAATTAACGGTTTTGTATTGTGTACGCGTGTATATAAATGAATGTATGTGTATGTATGTATAAGGTATAGTCGCAGTAATAAGATTTTGTAAAATAAAAATTATATAAAAGAACGCAAGCATAGCAACTTTTTTAATAGCGATAAAAGTTTGTTACTCATGTAACATTAAAAAATCAAATGATAAATCGATCATGGAAAAGTATATCTCTTTCTGCCCCTCTTACTTTTTTGCCAAGTTATCTTTGGAGAATAACAATATATGAATTATAAGATGTCTTTTTGCTATAAATATTAAATCTCGAGTGCATATTTCCCTAATCATTTTCACTTTACACACAATATATATTAGAGCAACAAAATGTGAACGTGGTACAAAAATGTATCGACAATATTAAAACAAACGGCATCTTACATAATTATGATAAGAATAAAAAGGGAATAATGCAAGCGTGATGGCATTTATTATCGATAAACAACTTATTTAACAGGGCATTGATGTACACGGGAAAGAATTTAATTTGTATATCTATGCTTTGTGTGTGTGTTCTTTAGTATACATATAAGTATATAATGTGTTTCTCATTTACGACTTGAAATTTGGACAAAGTTAGAAATGGGCCATTCTCGGAAGAAGATTGATTCAGATTAAGAAATTTACAGAATTTCACTGTATTCTAGATAATCAAAGGTATAGTGTTATCAGGATATTCTTAACTAGTTCAACATTTATAAATTGGACAATTCTCCTGCGCTGCTTCTCATTTGCCATTCGACCAGGCACGCAATAGAATATGTGCATGTGAAAAAAAAATCACTTTTTTATCTTGAACATATACATTGAAATAAAGGCGAAGAGGCACACTCAGAATTAGAATATTATTTAATCCAGATGAATTAGGAATACGGAGATTTGTAATACGAAGCAAGCACATAATTATGAAATTCTGTGAATAACCCATTACTTTTGTGTCGATTTTCATACCTACGTGTAATATAATTTCTGCATTTTTTACTATATAATTATATTATACGCGAATATCTACGAGAAACGGAACAAAAATGACATTCACAGAATATAAAACGGATGTCGTTTCTCGAACCAAAATTAGTTCGTAAACTTTTATAGTCCTCTGTCGAGAGTACTCTCTCTTATAATAATCTTAGAATAATCGCAAATCTATTTGTTACGTTGGAAATCGTACTATATAAAGTATCTGACCCATTTCTATCTTTATATATCTTTTTTTTTTAATCTAAAGGCCTGTTCTTTTTAGCTGAACTTCTTTATACGATTCGTCTTTCCTCTTTTTTTTTCTCTCCAACATGGAGAAAAAAGGAAGAAAGATGGACTGTGCAAGAACTTTAGCTAAAGAGAACAGATCTTAATTCTCGATAGATAATTTATTAGCATCGTTGTTAATGCGACAGACAGTTACGTCTCCTTCCGTACAAAGTGTTCGCATGCTCGTAATAAATCTTTATATCACGGACACCCGTGTAAAAAAAGCGAGTGTCCGGTGAAAAATCTGCCAGGAGCATATACGCGTCTTGTCCATGTGCATATGGATGGAAACGTTCTACGCAACGCACGTCCCGACATACGTTCAACCTCTTCGGTAATCTGTTTACGCTTTCTTTTAACTAATTTTTATTTAGTATACAAGGATGAAGTAGGAGGCTGGGCACCGCCCACCGAATTATCACAGTCGTCTGGTGCCGCAGCACATACGTATACGTGGTTCAGCCTTACAACCTACCTCTTAATCTAGCGTTATTCTACGTTTATTTATTTCTCGGATGCAGTATAGTCCCGTACAAGGTGACTTGTCGAAGCAACGATTACTAGAGGAGCGATCATACCTTTTTTTACATATTAGATCGCGATTACATATTATTGCTTTATTATAGCAGAGAATAGCACAGATCTCTTTAGTGAATGCTTTCTTTACAAGCTAGGAGACAGCAATGCCAAGTAATGTTTCATATTTTATTGTTTTTATTTTTTAATCTTCATCAGTGTTGCAACTGATCATTAAACAAACTGATGTCGCGGTACCGTGTACGGGAGCTATACTGTCAGCTGTCTGCAACTGATAATATCGTTTTACTCAAGTCATATCGCATATTCAAGTATTCCGCATGATCACGACGTTCTAATCAACGTTACGATTAGGCGATTGAGCGGAAAATCTTGCGTACAAAAATCAATACGTTTGAGAAACAACAAAAGTAGAAGAAATTAAAGTTCATAAGAACAGATCGAACAAGCTACTAATGGAAGCACTCTGTCAATTGGCTATATACATTGACTCAACGCAAAAATTATAAGTACAGAGGAAATGATATTTGGCTCCCCCTAAGGCAACCATGTCGACAGACTACATTATATGACACATTCTCCTTCTATAATCGAGTGACTAGTGTCAGCTTATCGTTAACTGCGGTATCCGTGAAAACAGTAACGGCAGAACTGATATAAACTGAGAAACGGGAATTTCACGTTCTGCAAACCTGTTGGTATAGCAAGATCATATCCCCCTATGGAATTGTCAACTTGGAAATAACTAATTTACGCTACATTACTTTACGTCGGATTTAACAAGGTAAAAACAGACTTAGCCATTCAAATCTCGATGGACGGATCGCGTGGAAATGATAGCGTCGAAGAAAGCATAAATATATACGCGTATATATGCATCAGGAAGAATAGTATGTACACGAGAATGCATCGGCGAGAACAGCCAATTCGCGAGTGAATATTAAAAGTTTTTTTCATAAAAAAACTCGCATGGGAAGCTCCAAATAAATAAGTTTCTGTCGAAGTAACGCGATAAAGAAAATTTCTGCTGGTAAAACGTAATGATCACATGTAGACAGCCAGTGCGTAAACATTAATATTCCAAAATGTCATATATATCGTTGAATATATCCAATTCTTTTTTTTTTTCAAGAAAAGTATTAGCTTTTCTTTAACATACTTGGTAATATTTGTTCTGTTTTGTCCGTTCCTCTCTTTCTCTGTCTTACTAACAGTTCCGCATGTAATATGTACAGTAGTATCATATAACACGTGCAGTACACGCTTAAGGGACGACACTTAGAGTTTAAAAATATAATCATCATATATTTAAAGTAGTATTATATCATCATTGTATTATGGTTGTGTTTGCTGCTGCTGTTGCTGTTATTACTATTATTATTATATAATTATAATTATAGTTATTATCATTATCGATAGCGTAATAATTATTATCATTATTAGTTTTATTATTATTATTATCATGGAGGGACAGTGTTTCGCTATGCCACGACACTGCAGAGCTGAACAAAGACTAAACGCGGAAGTTACCACGCTCTTTAATGGCACGAAAAGTACAATTGATATTGCATGCTATACTAATTCTCCTCTAATTTGGAAATTAATTGATTATCCATGTTATTTTTTTACAAATGTGCCACATAATATGCCTAATCGAATAGCTTACAGCTTTTAATTAATGTTAGCAAAAGTCGTTACCATTTTTCATATTACACTGTCCATATTGGCTTTATACAAGTTATCACAAAGCGAATTAATCAATTTCAATTTAAAGAAAGCTTACACGTATTATAACTGTAAACAAAAAATACGCGAATATTTTGTTGTGACACAAAAATAATTATTGTGGTAGGAGCAGTACAGGTATTAGTAGTAATAGGTAATAATAGTAGTAATAGTTTAGTAATAGTAGTAATAGTAATAGTAATAGTAGTAGTAGTAATAGTAGTAGTAGTAGTAGTAATAGTAGTAGTAGTAGTAGTAGTAGCAGTAGTAGTAGTAGTAGTAGTAATAGTAATAGTTTTAGCAGTAGGAGCGATAACAATAGGAGTGTTAACAATAATAATATTGACAATGATAGTAGAAATAGTAGTATAGTGATAGCGGTAATGGAAGGAATAGCAATAGTAATAGTGATACTATTACTAGAAGTAGTATAGTAGTAATAATATATAGTAGGAGTAATAGTAATAATATTAATCATGGTAATGATAGTAGTAGTATCTGGGTAACAATATTAATCGTAACAATAGCAGTAATAACATAATATTGTTGGCAAAGCTAGCAAAAAAATTTCATTTTATCTATTTTGTTTTATTATGTCTAATGAAATATCAAAGTTATATACGAAAAAGATCGACAATTAGTATCATATCGAAAATATACAAAAGAACGAATTTATACAGTTTCAGAGAATACGTGCTTAAAAATGTACATTGAAACAATGGAAAAGATGAATGGCTATCATAAAAATATTTCTTCCCTCGGGAAATATTTGTTCATCAAATCGTTATAATATAATCACGTTACACACACACTCACATATATATATATATATATATAACGTAATTATATTTTAAACAATATATCTTTTACATACATTACATAAGATGCGTTTCATTTGGCGCTTACAATGCTCGTGAGCATTATTTGACCTTGTTTAACATTTGATAAATTGATAAACAACAAGGATAAAACAATTCCATAAGCGTTGCGAGCATTAAGTGGAACGCATCCATAGGCGTCATAAATAATAGACATCATACAGAAGCTAAATCATCAGAAACATACGTTTGTTACAAGCAATGTAATTATAACCAACAAAAGATCGTGATTCCAAAGAAAACTCAGATTTATCTTCACCATTTGTGCGCAGTTTACTTAAAAATTTGTCATCGAAAAATAAATAACATTTCTCAAATAACACAATACAAACGTATGTATGTTCGTTCGAATTAGACATACTTAAAAGTAAGCTGCTCTTTCTAGTACCTATTCAATCTCAGTTCTCGTCTCCGAGTCCATTACAACGTGTGGATAATATGTGAGCCGAGATTAAAAATCTAATCAGTTGTCATAAAAAAGCAAACGGTTGGGTAGCTGACGAATACTACCAAAGTATCGAATGATCAGAGAGCGTGATAACCTCTATCCACGTATTCTTAACTTTCACAAGATTAATTACGTATTTGACAGTTAAAGCGATATCTATTCCCGAATATCTTAATACTGTAATGAGCAACTGGATTTGAAGGTACCGTAAAGAGGTTGACGTTTCGGTGATCGACAGAGGTCAGTGAAGATCATCCTCATCGCTATCGTTACCGTCTTTCGATCTAGCGGCACCTCCCTCACCGTCGCTAGAACCCGAATCACTCGCCGAATCATCGGACTGCCAGCCCGCTTGATGCTGCTGAACCGCTTGTTGCTGCACTGCATGTTTCGAAGTCTTGTGACGTTTTCCTGCGCGCGATGTCGCGTCAGTGCCCGCGCCGTCCAACATGGGTTGTAGGATTCGTCGACGGGCGTTGATGAACCAATTGTTCACTTGTAGTAACGTTAAATTTGTCTGACTGGCGATCTGACGCTTCTCGTCTTCGGTTGGATAAGGATGCTGCAACAGATATGCGTTGGATTATGATTGAACTGTAACTTTTTTGCAAATTATCAGTAAGTTACTCACTACTAAATGCTGAAAGAGCCACGTTCGCATGATGCTGGTTGCCTGTTTGGGTAAGACACCCCGTTTCTGACGTCCCTTTCTAGCGCTACCGTGATTATTTCTATGATTCCCAGCGTGATTCGAAGCCGCGTTGCTGGCACTCTCCTCCTCATCTTCGCTCGCCGCAGGGGAAGGCGAAGCTGCGACTGTAATGTCTAAACACAATCGACGTGTTCTATTACACTTATGATCCACGCGTATAACATAACGGTACAATATGTGCGTTGAGAGATGGTAACGACAACGAATCGTTGCAATTTTTCAACCCATATGCGCTGAAGAAAACATGTTATATTTCTAACCGAAATACTTTTTATCATTAGCATTCCCGGCATCCGCGTATTCCACGTTTTTTCGTTCTTGCAACGCAACTAATCCCCAGTATCCGGCTTCTTCCAGATATATTCTGTCAGAAATTGTTTGCAGATACTCACTACTGTCATCTATAATCGAGATTTTAAGAGATTCATCGTGCACAAAATACAACCTCTGCTTCAGGAAGAGAAGAAAGTAGACAGAGTTTATATCGAAATCTTGTAAAAAAGTTCTCTGAGAAATCTTGAATTTTTCAGTTATTTTTATCTAAAATTTCAGCTAAAATTAGATAATTTTTTAAACTGAAACTTTGAAATAAATTGAAATATAAGTAACACGAATAAACTATATAATACTTTAGTAGAAGATGAAAATTCCACAAGATTATATCTTTTTCTAGAATTAGTGAATTACTCTCTTCTACTGACAATGAGTGTCATCTACTGTCATGCTGATTTTTTAAATAAAACTCACGAGTCATACGAGAATGTACACAAATGTATACGTCATATTTATTGCTGATTGTCAACATTATCAAAAAATAATCAGAGAAACAAATTTAAAAAGAGACAGAATATAAAAGTAAAATTCTATAAAAATTCCCAATTTTCAAGGGTAAAAAAAATATTTTCTAAAAATTCCAGATTTTTCAGTTTTTTTTCCAGATCATAAACATTCTGAAAAAAATCAAATTTTTTACGAGAAAAAAATAAAATCTTGATCAATTATATATATAGCTGATTCTGATTTGCATTGATCAACACGACTCTCTATCGACAACGAACAATTGAAAGAAATCCATTCGGTGATGCAATGGATGCATTCAATGGATTTAACAGTTTAGTCAGCGCTCGCTGCTATTGGTATATTCTTCTAGATCTAAGCTCTGATTAGAATATACCAATAGCAACGAACACTTACTTACTCAACTGTTGCTTTGTTGAATACACCCAATGGTATTGTGACAGCTCTCGCGGTTTAGACTCACCTTGGCCGAGATACATGTCGTTAACCGGGGCGCATGGATGCGCCCCGATTTGCGAGAGAGGCGTGCTTCCATGTATAGTGGACGGTGAGAGCGGATCGTCGTGGTCCTGGCTAGTGGATTTGCCCGAGCGCTGGACGGCGGAAGACGGTCGGACCGACGAAAGTGGATCGTGATTAACGCTCTCTTCCCGCGTGTGCGAATTCGCGCCATCGTTCTCCGCCACGGCGTCCCCACGGCTCACTCTGAATCCGTTAGCTCCCGACTCAACATCATTGCCTGTAGATGACAGCACCTGGCAAATATATGTCTCAACTAGCCGTCAGAGAGCAGGGATGGGAAATTCAGTAATATCTCAAGAGATGTACGCATACACTCGTATACGGTGATGTAATATATATATTACCGCTTTAATCGATTCAACGGCAATTTACAGATCACAATGCATAAACGGTAATGACAATAACGACATCGCGGGATTCTTCGCGTACATCCCTTCTACTACGGGAATATCTACGTTGGTGAGGGGGATAGACCGGACAGACCGGGGAGCCTAGCTTCATCGTAGTATATCGGGTAAACGTCTAACCTGCAACGGACTGCTGCCGTTGCTTCCACTCGACGGACCCATGTCGTGCCCGTGGTGGCTGTAGTCGCTGCGTAACAGATTCTCGCTCTGCATCTTGCCCTTCAGACACGTGATGTACCTGTTGCAGAAGTCCTTGCACAACTCTTGCACCTTCTCCAGCTCCAATAGGTGAATACGTAGCACCTGTATCGCTTTGATCATCTGCAAAAAAAACGTATCTCCATGGAAACGCTCTTAAACACTTCGTTCAACTGATCGTCATTTCTCGCCGCTTCCCTCATTCATTTGTTCCCGATATTAACTTTGCACGCGTCGGAGTCGCGTGGGAAAACAAAGAAAAGACGAGCGAAAAGTTTATAAAAAAGTTTATAAAAAAAAGAAGAAGTCTAACAAGTATGGAGAAGAGTCTAATAGATATGCTCCCTTTTTACTGGCAATGCAACCATCATGTTTAACAGCATTAGAGATTTTGAACAAAAGCAGCAGCGACAGTTCTTCCAAAGAATTTATTTGTTTCTAGATCCAATAATTATTTTTTACGCTCTTTTTCCAACGTCGTATTGCACTGTAACTGCCTCGCCTCGAGAGCTGCAGTAGTCGCAGTGGCAATATGGTTACCATTTATGGCATTTATGACGTCATTGATGGAATTAGATGTTATCGCAGCACACTGCATAATAATAGCGGAAAAATTTTCTAGTATTACTAACACCGGCAGTGTATATCGGAACACAGCTAATGACATATATCATGCCTAAAATATAGGCCGATAATGTATGGTATATACTAAAACCTTATGCCCACAATGCTAAAAATCCGAGATTTTGAATGGAGAAAAAATTAATCAATCGCATTGATCAATTGGCGAAATTGTTTATGTGATCTGTCAATTCTTTCTCCATCCGAAATTTTGGAACGATCTTTAGCATGGACACAAAGCTTCAGACCAAGCATTCGGGATTGTACATAGATTGAGGATTGCGAATTAGGGAAATTAGAATTCAATTAATCAGAATGAAATGGATTAAAATTAAAATTATTTGATTGAGAATTCAAATCTTCAATTAGCAATCCTCAATTTCTAATTCTGATATGGATTTATTATCTGCTAACAGAATAAAATGCCACATTGATTACAGAAATTGAACACACTGCTATTTCATAATCATTTAAAGTTATTCTCTTTAAGTTTATGAAAATTTGCTCCGTTTCTGCCAACAGTCTACTAGATTATGTCATAAACATAAATTTAATGCAGACATAGACGATACCAAATCTATTGAAATATCTGAGCAAATCTACTGCCAATCTGTTGTACTGCAAGCAATTTGTTTACTGGGATGTACGTCATCGAGAGATTCGTCTTAATAAAAAGTATGTCTTACCAAACCGTCAATCTCGGGGTCATTGATCAGGAAAGGCTTTCGGTCTCTTTCTTGGTGCTGGACAAAAGCCTGTATGTCCATGTTGAAGCTTTCGGACGTGGAGTTGTCCGAGCTCTGGGTCGCTTGTTCGCATCTTTCGAAAAGTAACGCCAGCAGCGGGAACAGCGGATGTTTATAAACGGCTCTCTTGTCAGCTTCGAATTGGGCCTGATCCTGATGAGTCGTATAATCGGCGACCCCACTCGCAGGGTCTTGATCGTATCCGGGGGTCACCATCGCTAGCGCAACGGCGGTATTACCCTCTTGCATCCTGCCATAAATACGTATTCGTCACTCGATTCCCGAATTATCTTCTTAATCACAATTTATAATATAATATACTTTAGTCTTTTGCTCCAAGTTATAAGTTGTGATAATTAATTAATTTTATTAACTATAAACTTTACTGGTTCTACAATAAGTCGGTAGTTTGTAGTCAGTGAGTCGGGATTGGTCAAAATCGATGAATCGGTAGAATTGGCCAGTAGCCAACTTCTAAAACTACCGACTCATTGTGGAACCAATGTTACAGTTGAAATCTGACTAACTTGCTTAGTCCCGAAACACATAGGTGTAGTAAGTCTTAAACATTCAGAAACTGACCAATCGTAATCGATTATTCTCCTTACATTCGACTGTGATAAATCATTTCTTACGGTTTAAGGCTTAAAACTTAAATTTTACGCCTAAAAATTTCATTGTAGACACCGTTTAAAATCTCCTTGTAGACGTCGCTTCATAGATTGGAAGTTAAAGTGGTTCTTCTTACCTATCATTCCCCCTTGGCAATTCCCATTCTCATCTGGATTCCCCGTGACTCCGTTCCTTTTACGCCTAAGGTTCAATTACTCGTTCAAGGCGCTTGTTAAATCCGTTCGATTGGAGGATTCTTTAAGAAGAAACAAAATTGCAATGAGAATCTCGAGTTTGTTTACATCGGCTGCTTTCTTCTTAGGAGACACAAATTAACACACTCGGACACAGTTTGCCACAATTAAATGGAACGTCATATGTAATATGTGCGAATTGTTAATACCTTATCTCACAAAATTACAATTAGTTTAAAACTTCTCAAATAATATTTTCTAATGTATGTATATTATATTTTGCGGATGCATTTTAATATCGGTCAAAATCACATTTGAACACACTCCAACTTTCCTCCCAAACAGAATCGAAAAGTGTCGACTGAGTTTGAACAAAATTGTAAATGTGAAAAGCGACATGTGTGTCGATTTGCGTCAAAAGTGTCGACTGTGTTTCTTAAGGCTACGTTCGGAAACGTCACCCGTGTATCATCTTATCCTTGTTTAATATTGGGTGAATAACAAGGATAAAACGATATACGGAGGCACTCGTATGTTTCCGAACGCAGCCTAAAAGGAAAGCAACCATCATTTCGTCAAGAGGTTAATTCCTACTTACGATCGTTCCGCGAAATTCGAAAGGGATAAAAAGAGAAAGAAAGGATATCTCCACAAGGAAGTGAAAAATCGATAAAGAGAAAAAAACAAGAAAAAGAGAAACGAAGAAAAACGTCGCGTCCCGCCGCGCCACGCCGCGTGAACAATCGAACGATGCGGCACCGCATTTAAATGTCATCATTAGACAGCATTGGCGCCATCGGCGCCCGGGGCTCCCATCGATTTCGGAACGGCGTATCTTCCGCGACGCGGGGTTAAATAGCGCCACTAGAAGAAAGAAAAAAAGAGAGATAATAAAGATAATCCAGAAAAACGCACGCGTGTGAAATATCCTAACGGGTGTCCCAGGCCAGTTCCCTCGAGAACTGGCAGCAAGTGGCAAAGTACAAAGAGCAAAATCGCGCACAAGATAGTCTTACGTAAAGGTGATGAGTGCATTTTTTTTTCTGCTGTTTTTTTTCCAAGCGAGAACGTCATACGTCAATATATGTCGATTCAAATCTACTCTCATTGGCGATTAATTTAACGCTATCATTAATAATGTGAGAGAAAAGTTGTTGATGTACGTATATGATAATTAGAATTGTAGGACTCTCGGGAAATTTCAAGAGATGATTATCGCAGAGTTGAAGCCCAGAGCGAATAAGCACGTTCAGCGAATTCAATAGTTAAGTGAGCGTTCGCTGTTATTAGTGTATTCTTTTAAATCTGAACGTTTGATCGGATGATCTAGAAGAATACACCAATAACAGCGCTTACTGAACTGTTGAGTTCGTTGAACGTACCCAGAATACTGCATTTAGCAATGGAAACTCAGTGAGTTCTCAGTGATTCTTCAATATGACTGGTTCCTATAATTAGATATAGCGAAGAACTAAAGGCAAGAACCAATTATATTAAAGAACAACTGAGCGCTTACTGATAAGTTTTCTCTACTGAATGCAGCCAATGGACGTGGCTGCGTCCGATATATACTAATTGCGTTTAGCAGAAAAAGCAGCTTTGCAATTGTTGTAAGATTCTTTATTATTGGTATTGCTCTTAGTTTCTCACTAAATCTAAATGTATAACAGGCTTTCTACAATAAGTCATTAGTTTATAGGTTCACAACCTTGCTTTAAGGAGCTGTAATGCTGATTCTACAATGAGTCTGTAGTCGGAAGTCTTAGTCTCAATCGATGAAGTTGGCCAATCAACGTCGGTTGTACAAGTTGGCTTTGATCAACTTCATGATAAGACTTAGGACTACCGACTTATTGTAGAATCAACATTAATCTTAATTGGTGAAGTTGACCGATCAGTGTTAGTCGTACAAGTTGGCTATTGATCAATTTCACCGATAAGACTTAAGACAACCGACTCATTGTAGAATCAACATAAGTCATAAAGAGAAATGACGTTGATTCCTATTTCTAAACTGTTCTCGCGCAGTCTTTAAAAATCGTTAGATGTAAGCGAATTGAGAAAAACCTAATTTTTAAGGCCTAAAAGCAAGATTAATTTAAAAAAAATGAGATTTCACTCCTTTGAAGTAAAAATTCACTTTAAAAAGAGTGAAAATTGTCACTCTTTTTTAAGAAGTGAAATATTTTCACTTTTTTTTAAGGGTAGTTGTATTTTCACTTTCTTGGAGTGAGATTTCACTGTAAGAAATTTAGAGTGCAACTTCTAATTTATGACTAATTGCCTATTGTAGAATGGCCATAAGTCTTAAAGCTACGGCACACAAAAAATTTAAGCAGTAAGCAGTACGGAAATCAACGTGTTGGATTGGCTACTATTTACATTGACCTTATAATCTTTACTATAATTGGCCAATTCTCTTACTTCTTACGTTTGATTGCTTAAGTTTTTTGTGTGCCATGTATTCCTTGAGCCCTAATAAATCATAAACTACGTTTACACGGTCACCCTTAATCGGGTTTAATAACATCCATAGTTAGAAAACTAACCAATCACAATCATTCCATTCTTCAGAGGAATTGCTATGATTAGTCGAGATTATTCATAATTACAGATATTATTAAATCCGATTAAGAGTGGCCGTGTAAATGTAGTCACAGTCGGTTATTCTCCTCACGTTCGATTATGATCAGTTTTTTTTTCGGTTTAGGTAATTGCTCATTCTAATCATATTAAGGAATTCTACAATAATTGTAAAATGTTTTCTACAGCTACCCTCTGGTCGCGGAGACACGTCGAATCGCGCGTTGGAAGAGCAAGCGAACGTTCCCTCGGCACGTGGGTTCGCCGCTTCGAAAACAGCAGGGGACCGGCCACTTGTTTACTGCCTGTCAATCATCGGGTTGAGCCTAACCTGCGCGACTCACTCGCTCTCGCACGCCGCTGCGCAGAAAAGCGACCACCGTTAAAACACGCCCTTCAAACGTTACACTTTACACGACAGGCGGACCGCGCCTCCTCCTCCTCTTCTTCCTCCTCCTCCTACACCCTTTCTCCCAAACGCGCGCTGCTTTTCCCGGTTTGTCATTGCTCGTTTGATAAAATCGAAAGGTCATCACCATCGCGCACTACCGGAAATGATTGAAGACGAAATACATCGTGGTCAAACATCGTGGTGTTTCTCCAAAAAAAAAAAAAAGATCGTACTAAAGAGTCTGGTCATGAGCAGTTTTGTCAAAACAAGAGTAAAGCCTAAAATCTTATGGACTTTTTACAATAAGTTATTATTTAAGTTTTAAGTCTAAAGCCATAAACATGACTAATCACAATCGAATATGAGAAGAATAATCAACTATGATTAATTTCTCATAGCTTAAGGTCTAAGGACCATGGCATCCAAAAAATTTAAGTAGTAAAATGTAAACAGTAAGGGCCTTAACAGAAAGCTGACCTATAATCTTAAGACAGTGTCTTGTGACATAAGTCTTATGTAAGGATTTACTTAATATGACTTATATTTTAAAGGTCTTGTATTTATACACCTTTAAGACATAAGTCATAAGATAGTTCTTGTGTGTTACTAAAGACATAAGACTTAAGTTATGACACTGTCTTAAGATTATAAGTTAGCCTTTCTGCTACAGCCCTAAGCGAAAATTTACCAATCACAATAGAGATCGTAAGGCCATAGCGTAAGCTGTAGCAAATCCAACATGTTGTCTAGGTCCACAATCTTATTTTAGGGGGCTCTAAGCTGTAAAGCCGTAAGAAATTGATCAATCACAGTCCATTATTTTTCTCATATTCAACCATGATTGATCAATTTCTTACTGCTTTACAGCTTATAGCCTCTTAAAGCAAGGTTGTGCACCTAGACCTTGATTTCTTTACTGTTTACGTCTTACTGTTTAAGTGTTTTTGTATCATGGCCCCAAGAGTTAAGCTTAGATAATAGTTTATTGTAGAAAGCCCATTAAATATAATAAAAAGAACAGGCAATAGGAACAGGGAATAAAAGTACCAAAACATACTAGAAAAAAAAAACTGTGTTCTGGTAAACATGATTTCTCAAAGGTTGAAATTTATTATTCTCTGTTCCATTGCTAAAACACAATAAGTGTAATAAGTTTTAAGCCATAAGAAATCAATCATAATCGATTTTCTTCTCATATTTGACTGATTGGCCTTAGGACTATTACAGATAAAATTCCAGTAACGGTAAACGTAAGGTGTAAACTTAAGCCAATGAACCAATGAGTGATCTAACAAAAATAGAAATAGCAGTAAAAACTTATTCATAAGGCAAATTGGTTTTACGGATAAGTTTACTGCTATTTGTATTTCCGTTAAATTACGTAGATCTAAAGCAATATCCTGATTGAATCATTAGCTTAAGTTTACATCTTATGATTACTATTATAGAAATTTTATCTGCGGTAGCCCTTACGGCTTAAAGCATTACTACTCGTATTGTGATTCAGGATTTATTCATGTTTGAGAAAAAAAACGCGATATTATCTTACTCATTTACTGAAGTTGACAAAAAGGACGACTAATCAAAAGTTTGTCATCTTGTGGCCAGATGAAATGTCATCAGCTGATCACCAGATCCTAGTATCCCACCTCGTTTCCGAACGCTTTAAATAAAATATTTGTCTCGTATATATGGAACGCTTGTTTACGTGGTGCGTTTATTTTTCTCCCACCCAAGAAAGCAGCGCGCTTTCGCGGAGGACCCGCGAGACAGCCCACCTTTTTCGCACAAAAATGTCGGACAACGAGCGATTCGAAGGGTAATTATCGACTCCGATTAGGCACGTTTGCCGAAAGATTCAAAAATGATTTTTATTCCTTCGGCTCTTTTGACGCGCGATGTGAAATCCAAAAAGACATAAAGCCCGTATCACACACATTGGAAATTGAGGATCGTTGAAGTTACAGATAAAATTCAATCAATCAATAAAGGAACGGATTAAAATTAAAATTATCTGACAGGTCGAATTCTAATTTTAATTCGTAATTCTCGGTTTCCAATACGTTGGGTGACACGGGGTTTCACTCGTACGCGAGATGATTAAGAAACATGCCGATATTCGTCATAATTGTGACAACGCTAACTTGAAACGATCGAGAGATCGAAGGGCGACGACGACGACGATGTCGCTCGTCGACGAGAGCGTGACCCTCGCGATCGCGCGCACAAGCCGAGCCAAGCCGACCTTGTCTCGGTGAGAAAAATGGGCGTTCACGCAGCGTACTGGAAGCGAACTCTGGCCGAACCTAACCTCGCGGTGGCGGCAGCTGCTGAACTGTCGTTGTCGCGTGGAAACACCGAGCGATATCCGACGACTGTTCCAACATTTACCGATCGCGAACGCGTGGATCGTTTCGTATCTACGCTACGCAGCTCTTACCGTGATTTAACGATAGGGTCGATCCAGCTAGAAGCGGAGCGGCACGCTACACCACCGTTGCGCGATCCGTCTACGTCTCGTTCGTTTTGTTTTCACGCAACTACGCAGCGCGATCGAACCGTCATAACCGTGCGACGAGCGGAGCTGGCGGAGCAACGGGCATCGACGAAGGGTGAGGGCCCCGTGTTTCGTCCGTAACGTCCGTGCGCAGGGTGCAGGGTGCACGTGCCGGGGGGAAGGACGCGGACGCGCACACTTTTGTCGTTCGTTCCGGAGATGTCCGGAGAGGAACCGCCACTCACCGCCACTCACCGCCACTCGCCAATTCTCAATCAGAGCCGGTTTTACGCGCTAGCGCCGGTGGCTCACCACGTTCACGAGCATTCACGAGTACCGTTCGCTGCACGTTCACGTAGATGATAAGTTCCGGTAGCCGGACATTTTTTCCGCACAAACGCGACCGTCCACCCCGTTTACTCCTTCCACTGGTCTGTCTTTTGTGACGTCACCGATTCAATACTTTTCGCGAAGGTTTCTCGCCGTTATGGCGCCGTTGAAGTACGTCATCCATCCGACAGATGGCACCACGCGAGCTGTTTCCGTAACGGTTCGAATTGGACAAAACAGGTGCAAAAGGTGCATTCCACTTAAGGGTATATACACACAACTTGCATAGCCGCACAAATGTATGCATAAAAAAAATGGCTGCGTTCAACAGACTCAACAATTTTGCAACCGTTTTGTGATTCTTCGCTGAGATAAAACTATTTCTTTAAATCTAAAAGAATAATCCAATCAGCGCGACGAATCATAAAACGGTTGCAAAACTACTGAGTCTGCTGAACGCAGCCATTTATCCAATCACATTTTACGTGCGTCTTCATATGAGAAATGCGATTGGATAATTTTCTTTATGCATACGTTTATGCAGCTATTTAAGCTTGTGTAGATATACCCTAAAGGCCATGGGCACACATCTTCCGTAACAGTAACCATAAGACGTACCATAAGAATCAGCCAATTAAAATTAAGAGTTCAAAGAATTCTCGACTGTGATTGGCTGATTCTTATGGTACATCTTATGGTTACTGTACGGAAGGTGTGTTAAGATCGAAGCATAAACTAGGCATCAGTCCGGATCTATAATAGATTTTTAAGCCTTAAGCCATAAGAAATGGACGAATCACAGTCGATTATTCTCCTAGAATTTGACTGTAATTGGTCAATTTCTTACGGCTTAATGCTGGATTCACCCTGCATCCGATTTGCGTCGAACGACGCTCTGCAACCTATCAGAAAACAGGATTCCGATGGATTTTGCTTCGTATCATCGGAATTCTGTTTTCTGATTGGTCGAAGAGTGTCGTACGACGTAAATCGGATGCATGGTGAATCCAGCATAAGGCTTAAATTACCTATTGTAGATCCGGACTTATCCTGGATCTACAATAGGTGTTTTAAGCCGTAAGAAATTGATCCATTACAGTCAAGTGCGGGGAGAATAATCGACCGTGATTCGTTCATTTCTTAAGGGCCGTCTACAATACACGGAGTAAGAAGTAAGAGTAA